GTGGAGGAATCCACGTTGTGATATCTATGGACTCTAGCTATGGTTGGATTATCAAGTGGGCCCAAACAACCGTGTCAGCAATAAAATAAATGTATACCATAACTTAGGCCATTATGTCATTTTGGATCCTCCCGATCCACTAACGGTGCTTTTAGGTACCACAAGCACCGGTCATCGTTCTCGTCGAACCCGTCGCTTGCATGAAGGGCTCGGCGAGCAAATTAACCCACTAGGGCTAGTGTTAGCAACATCATCAGCTTAGAACCGCGTGAGCTCACCTATTCTTTCTACGAATCTAGCATAACCCCTCGAAGTTACAGAAATAGGTCGAAAAAAAAGCCATTGTGAATGTAATTTTACAATTTTTTCGACCAGTTTTCCCATCCCACATCCCGCATCTCGCATTAACCCACTAGGGCTAGTGTTAGCAACATCATCAGCTTAGAACCCCGTGAGCTCACCTATTCTTTCTACGAATCTAGCATAACCCCTCGAAGTTACAGGAATAGGTCGAAAAAAAAAGCCATTGTGAATGTAATTTTACAATTTTTTCGACCAGTTTTCCCATCCCACATCCCGCATCTCGCATCTCATTACAGCACTAACCAAACTAATTGCGATATACATTTTAAATTTCGTTTATCGTGACTCGACGTCGTGACGCTACGTGAATTTTATTATCTCGTTTCGATTTTCAATTATATTGAGCTACTTAAATTATTGATCCGTTTTGATTTGAACCATTTGCGAAACCGCTTTATCTATATATTAATACGTGAAGCAAAAACTTTGTATCCCTTTTTACGAAAATTGCTCGGACGGAGGAGTATGAAATTTTCCACACTTATAGAGAATATAGAGAAGAAGTGCACAATGCTAATATTTTTTTAAAATAATGCATAAAAGATACAGTAAATCAATAAAGAAAACATTACACACACTACCATGTATTTGACATAACACATATACACATACAATATACTCTGCGTTTATTGTCAAACTTTTGTTATTGTTGAAAGTCTGTTGTCAAATTGAGAATAAATTAATATTGTTTGTCTTTAATACTATTTATATAAAGTGTAGTTTTGGCAAAGTCTGTGATTATATTAAAGAAGTCTAATAGTGTTTGACAATAGAACCATAATAATGTTTATAAAGAAAATTTCAACTAATTATAGTCGAATTTCGACTACTGCGGGACCACTAGTACATATAGTTTTCGGTGGCCAAGTTCTTGACAACTCGCTGTCTATTGCATGTCTGGATAAAAAACGTGAACGCACTTTGACTTATTAGAAGTCCTCTATTATATCGCACTGTTTTTGTTCAGGGTAGGGTCAATACGAAACCCCATGCGTGGGACTGATCGAATGAACGACCTTACCAATACCCCAATTAACGAGTGCGTCCGCCAAGCCTCAATACGCGAACTATGGAGAAAAACTGTCAAGGCTTTAATAAACAAGGATTCCACATGACCATGACTGCTCTGCCAGGACTAACCGACTATGATGATTATATCGCACTAGTGATTCACTCCTAGCTCTGACTCTCGCGAATTGGATAAAGATATAGATTTATTTCGCATGGATTTTCATTTGCACCAACCTTGTCCGGACAATTGCAAACACGAACTATTGCGTAATTGCTACCAAAATCTCAGTATGATGTTCTCGCGAGGACATCCTTCAAGTCGGAAGGTATTATGGATTCGTGGTAGAAATAAACAAACCTTGATTACGTCCTACAACCAATAAAAGCCGGTAGTTGATCACAAATAAACATGGCTTACATTCACATAATCTTCGATCAAGAATACTACCACATAATGCAAAAACAAAACCATTATCTCTACATATAAAAATGAATTGCTGTTCGTTAGTCTCGCTAAAACTCGAGAACGGCTGGACCGATTTGGCTAATTTTGGTCTTGAATGATTCGTGGAAGTCCAGAGAAGGCTTAAAAGGTAGATAAATATGAAAATGCTCGGAATTAAATAAAAATAACAATTTTGTTTTCCCTTTGATGTGTCCCCCGTCGGACGGATTCCTTTTGTTTGTTTTAAATTTATTTTATACAAAAGTTTAGGTATTTTATTTATCGATTGAGGCACTACGAAGTCTGCCGGGTCAGCTAGTGATATATAAAAAAGATATCGAGTAATCACTGGTCGTCTTGAGAGCCCGCACGAGTATGTAGCATCACCCTGCCTATTTCTGCCGTGAAGCAGTAATGCATTTCGGTTTGAAGGGTGGAGAAGCTGTTGTACTATATCACTGAGACTTAGGTCTCGTCTCTCAAGGTGAATGGCGGCGTTTAAGTCATAGACGTCTATGGGCACTTAAAAATTAGATCGACCGTGAGCTGATACACCCATCTAAGCAATTAAAAATAGGTTCACTTTACGTTTTATGAACTTGAGCTTTCAGATTAACTACAAGTTAACAAATGAAATACTAACACAATAGTTACAGAAAACTGGATAGTAGCTGTTTTGGATTTTACAAGACGTTATTCGTTTATCGTGGATGCTGTCCGTGGACATGTGCCGGCTGCTGGAATGTCACGAATGATGAACGAAAACACCAGTAAATCGTTTTTTTTTATTGCTTAGATGGGTGGACGAGCTCACAGACCAACTGGTGTTAAGTGGTTACTGGAGCCCATAGACATCTACAACGTAAATGCGCCACGCACCTTGAGATATAAGTTCTAAGGTCTCAAGCATAGTTACAACGGCTTACCCACTCTTCAAACTGAAACGCATTACTGCTTCACCGTAGAAATATCGTGGTTCTGTGAGCCTACAATTCGTGTTTGTAATTTCGCTGCCTTGGTATCACTCCAAATTATTTACTCTGTTTATTCTATGGAGTCGTATTAACGAAACCTTTAACGTTTATTTCAATTGCATCATCGAAATAGGATCGAGCTTAAAATTCATAGCCGTAGCTTTAATTGGTTTTAGCTTTGCTTAATTGCGTAAGCGCAGCTTTGGGCGTCCCCCTGCCCGCTGGACCGATGACTTGCGGCGATGTGCCGGGAGAGATTGGATGCGGAAGGCGGAGGATCGTTCATTGTGGCGGACTATGCGAGAGGCCTACATCCAGCAGTGGATAGATACAGGCTGATGATGATAATTTTACCGATCCTGTCAAAATATGGCTCTAAGCGGCGTTAAGACTTTATATAAATGTGGGATAATCTATTCGATTTGGGTTGCTTCACTAGAACTTGAATTTTTTTTAATTTTTTTTTTTGCTTAGATGGGTGGACGAGCTCACAGCCCACCTGGTGTTAAGTGGTTCCTGAAACTCATAGACATCTACAACGTAAATGCGCCACCCACCTTGAGATATGAGTTCTAAGGTCTCTGTATAGTTACAACGACTGCCCCACCCTTCAAACCAAAACTGCCAACTCCTTCACGGCAGAAATAGGCAGGCTCGTGGTACCTACCTGTGCGGACTCACAAGACGTTCTATCACCGGTAAAAATATGCCTGAACAGTTTGCATTTCATGTGTCTCGATCACACAGTGACCGCGTCGTGCGTTAGTCGCGATGAAAGGTCTTCATCAGAGGGTCGCGGAAACAAGATCAAAGCATTCAACTCTACAGATCCTCCGTGAGCGTATATTATAATGCAACCGTTAGATTGTATGCTCTACTTCAACCGACATTTTTTTATGGAAAAGATGGATTGACGAAACAGCAGACCTGGTCATAAGCACAGAAGACCAAACATGTCAACAGCGTAAATGCCATCTAACTTCTTGAGGTATTTTCCGGTCGTAGGACCTCTTGTGAGTCCGCGCGGGTAGGTACCACCACCTTGCTTATTTCTGCCGTGAAGCAGCAATGCGTTTCGGTTGGAAGGGCGGGGCAGCCTTTGTAACTATACTGAGACCTTATAACTGATATGTCGAGGTGGGTGGCGCATTTACGTTGTAGATGCGTAGTAAGCAATAAAAAATAAATAAATAAAATGAGTTCGAAGTCTCAGTTTTCACATTACAACGGCTACCGCACCCTCCTAATCGAAACGCATTAGTGTTTCAAGGCAGAAGTAGATCTGGTGGTGGTACCTACCCTTGCAGGCCGTTTTATGTACATACACACCTAATAGAGACCTTAGAACTCATATTTCAAGGTAGGCTTACTTTGTAGATATCTATAGGCTCCGGTAACCACTTAACACCAGGTTAGCCGTGAGCTCGTCAACCCAATCCAAGCAATAAACAAAAATATATTCTCTTTTAACTATATATTAATACGTGAAGCAAAAACTTTGTATCCCTTTTTACGAAAATTGCGTGGACGGAGGAGTATGAAATTTTCTACACTTATAGAGAATATAGAGAAGAAGTGCACAATGCTAATATTTTTTTTAAATAATGCATAAAAGATACATGAAATCAATAAAGAAAACATTACACACACAACATACCATATATTTGACGCACACACGCATGCATACTATTTATTGTCAAACTTTTGTTCTTGACGTCTGTTGTCAAATTGAGAATAGATTAAATATTGTTTGACTTTGTTAATATTTTCTATAGTGTAGTCTTAGCGAAATTTGTGATTATAGATGTATAAAATACAATCATACTAGTTAGTGTACAAACTTACAATTCCAATTGATTATAGTCGAATTTGGACTACTGCAGGACCTCTAGTATGAATAAATTTACTTACTTTAATTTCAAACAAAAACGTAACTGTAATTAAATATATTTACAAATAAAAAACTCGAATACATTTTTCCGCAAGTGACGACGATACGGGCGCACGCTTGTATATTATAAATCAAAAAAAAGTAGAGTATCATTCATTCCGTTTCATAGAAGCAAATGCGAAAATTATTCTCACACAAATCCAAACGTTTATACACATACAAACACACAATTATTTGCACATACACACACACACAAACGCATACAGTATATGTTTCGGTTTTGGCGTATAAAAGAGATGAGTTTCAGATACAAGATCACACAGCATCCGTACATCAACGAGTGATAAAACTTACATTGTTGGTTAGTTATTTTTGTTAATTAACTATAAAATATAAGATCTATGTTCATTAGTAATTAGCTTTGATTTCGTGCGCTACCCCTCAAGGTGATCTCAAAATTTTTATTAATTGAATTTTGTTTAAGTTGCAAACGATCGCCTGAATTAAATAGTCAAAAGGCTTGGGATTACGAAGAGTTCGAGTTAGGCAGATGCTTCAATTATTACGGTTTTAAACGGTTGCCTGGAAGAGATCGCTTTTAGCGATAAGACGGCCTATTGTACAAATTAGTGACTGTTTTTAATGTTAATTGTGTTTTCGTGTGCAATAAAGTGTATTCTCTTTCTTTCTCTATCTATTATAGACTTAGAAACTATTACTATCGATCATGGTCGGAGAACTGATAGATTGTTGATAAATAACCAAAAAATTCAAACGAATATAATATCATCTAAATTTCGATTGAATTTTAAAGAATCGAGTTTTGTTTGAGGTTATTCTTATTAAAATACACATATTATTACGGACTGTGGACAGTCGCTAATGCACCTCAAAGATATTGTCCAAGGACTCCAAGGCAAGTCTGCGTGATTTTACGAGCCCGCCTCAATCCACCGTAATAAACAACTTGTCATCATAACATCTCTTTGAAACAAAAAGTTCTAACCGTTTCAACAGAGGGGGCCATTTAAACTAAAAATATTTTGTTTCCTTTTCAGAATATTCCGAATTAAAATACTCTATTAAAATGAAGGTGAGTTGTTTTTTAAAATACTTAATAAGCAATTAAATATCGATTTTATCTTCTTCTTTTTTTTGGCATAGATGGGTGGACGAGCTCACAGCCCACCTGGTGTTAAGTGGTCACTGGATCCAACAGACATCTACAACGTAAATGCCGCCACCCACCTTGAGATATGAGTTCTAAGGTCTCAGTATAGTTACTAAGGCTGCCCCGCCCTTCAAACTGAAATGCACTACTGCTTTAGGGCAGAAAAAGGTTGGGTACCTACCCGTGCGGACTCACAAGAGGTCCTACCACCAGTATTTTTTTTAATAAGAAGTGAAATTGTAAATCAAGATTATTGATAAACGAAAGTCCCATTTAGAAATGGTTGACTTAAATATTAGATGTAATTTTGCGTAAAAATTTCAATAAGCGCACTATTTATTTGGAATTTACTATTTTCTATTAATAACACTTCCTAAGTACATCTGATGAACAATATGGCCGTCCAAACACTAAAAATCTCTTTATTGCCTTAAGTAATGATTATATTCCTTGACACGTTAATTATCGAAGCAAAATTAAAGTGTAAGATGGTTATTTAATGAAAAAAACGACCTACTTCGCCAATCGCGTTTCTCTGCTCTCAAACATTAGAAACATTAATTGATATACTATAATTTCCTAATTTTTTATATTAATTAGTATTATGTTTAAGAAAACTTAATTCTATTTACATTTTTATACTGTACTTATTGATTTATGAATAAATATAATCACATAAAATATTCTTAACGGTTCGTTTTTCCCAGATTTAGTGACACGCATAAATATCTCCCAAATAAATTTCTGGTGGTAGGACCTCTTGTGAGTCCGCACGGGTAGGTACCACCTGCCCGCCTATTTCTGTCGTGAAGCAGTAATGCGTTTCGGTTTGAAGGGCGGGGCAGCCGTTGTGACTATACTTGAGACCTTAGAACTTATATATATCTCAAGGTGGGTGGCGCATTTACGTTGTAGATGTCTATGGGCTCCAGTAACCACTTAACACCAGGTGGGCTGTGAGCTCGTTCACCCATCTAAGCTATAAAAAAAAACATAGACAAGAAATACAATATGTTAAGGTTTTTGTATGTCCTTCCAGTTGGTGACGGCTTGCGCACTCCTCATAGCTTCAGCATTGGCGGAGCCTCCTGTAGACAACAGGTGAGTGCTTGATTGGATTGCGACAATGTTTTTTTTCTCCTACTTATGCCGAAAGTTCAGATTTCGTCCCGCTGTATAGAGAAGAAAGTCTAACTTTGCCTCCCTGGGTACTGACAAGTGCGCATGCGCGTTAGTGTCTATGTCTACTCTCACGCACTATTCTCCGCCATTGTTGTGCTCGGGTAATTTGCAATATTGTGTTTAGTGTAAAAGTGAAATAAACAAAAAGCAATAAAATTTAATAGTGAAGTATTAAACAAAGATGAGTTCATCAGACAATTCTTATTCAATTAGTAGTAGTTTATTTAAAAATAAAAAAACAGTTAAATTGTTTTTTTTATTAGAGAGAACCCCCTGCCAGGGCTTCGCCCCTGGACCCCGGCTCGGTACTCCACGGGTGCTAAATTTTTTAGGATGTCGAACTTTCGGCCCGGTAGGAGAAAAAATAGTATGGTCACCGCGGGAAAAAAGTAGGACATCTCATCCCGCCTGTTTGCAATTTTACACGCGGCAATTTTCTCCCTTTCTCAAATTCTCGATACAAGGAACGGGTTGGATTGGATTCCAACTCTTCAAATTGTACTTCTGATTACACGTTGTGGTTGATAGGTGAGGCTTAGATTCGGACCTAAGTGGCGATAAAGGAAATCCTTTCATTGCATTAGATGAAACTCAACCTAAGGGGCAAGGCAAAATGAAGCATTTTGTCCGAAACATAATTCTCCCAACCCGGTCAGGGAATTCGCTCATGCCTCATCGGTCTCTAAATAAATTTGCTTTATGATAAATCTGATGCATTTTAAGGGTGAGGTAGCCGTGGTATTGAAAAAACTCTAGACCTTCGAACTCGTCGTGGCCTAAAGGATAAGACGTCCGGTGCATTCGTGTTGAGCGATGTACCGGTGTTCGAATCCCGCATGCGGGTACCAATTTTTGTAATGAAATACGTACTCAACAAATGTTCACGATTGACTTCCACCATGAAGGAATAAAATCGTGTAATAAAAATCAAACCCGCAAAATCATAATTTGCGTAATTACTGGTGGTAGGCAGTCGAGCATACGGCCCAGCTGATGGTGAGTGGTTACCTTCGCCCATGGACATCAGCAATGCCAGGGACAGAACCAAGCCGCTGCTTACCGTACCAAAAAGCGATTAATGTACTAATTCGCCTCCATTAAATCACAGGTACCTCCCTCCCTCGCAAAACTATGGACCTCCAGATTCGGGTGTGTTCGGTGCTCGAGGACCTAATGGATTCCGGTTAGTCAAGACTTAATAAAAAGAATTTTTATTGATTCACAAAACAAATTACAACCATAGAAATTATAGGTTTAAATATTTAACATAACAATCTGGATTGCAATCCGAAACAGGTGAATACAGAAAAATCTGAACAGTGTTTTTTTTTAACCTGTTCTGATAGCCTTCAGAGGCTATTTCAGCTTCACCCTAACGTGTAGGTGAGCTCACGGGGCTCAAACCGGAGTGTTGCTAACACGAACCCTAGCAAGAGCTGTGCTTCGCAGAATCTACCACCGGATCGGAAACGCGATCCACTGAGAAGATCCGGCGAGAAACCCAGTGGGCTGAGCCCGTGCGAGTAGGTACTACCGCAATGCTTATTTCTGCCGCGAAGTAGTTATGTTTCAGTTTGAAGGGTAGGCAGCGGTTGAGAACTAAGATTTGGACGTCATTTTTCAAGGTAGGTGACGATATGAGCGTTTTGGAGGTTTAATTTTTTATTTTTATTACATAGATGGATGGACGAGCTCACAGCCCACCTGGTGTTAAGTGGTTACTGGAGCCCATTGACATCTACAACGTAAATGCGCCACCCACCTTGAGTAATAAGTTCTAAGGTCTCAGGTATAGTTATTATCTATACTTAGATTAGATACTTTATTTTAGAAGTCGTCGTGGCCTACAGGATAAGACGTCCAGTGCATTTGTATCTAGCGATCTAATAATAATAAGGTAGTGGAGTCAAACATGGATTTTAAATTATTTCAGAAGTTCTTCCCGTTTCCCATCTACCCGCGTTGGGTCAAGCTTCGGAGCTCCCCACGGGGCCCTCTCTGCTCAGTATGGCGCACCCCAACTGACGCTGAACAGTCAATTTGGCAATGCCCCATCTACCCAATACGGCGCGCCCCAAGCCCCAACAGCAAAGTACGGGCCGCCTCAGAGTAGCCCAGCGATATTGTACGGCGCTCCTCGCGATGGCTTCGGACCTCAACTGAGTGGTCAACGTGCGAACGGGGCCGACTTTAGCGATTGTGAGTTTTGGAACTACTAATTTGTAGCGAGGCATTTTTGAAGTGCGAATCTTCTTTAGCCGCTTTGAGCGCTTTTTGCTAGGAGGAAATCTTATGGGTTCGCTTCACCAACATGCTTATAAAATCAAGGGCGGATCCAGCTTTGGCGCCAGGAGGGGGTCACATAGTCGTAGGCAAGTTAATAACTTATAATTTAATTTTGATAACAATATATAATAAATAAGTCATGATGTTCTTCAATTAGTCCAAGTTAGTTCAAGTCCTGGAACTAGCTCAGGGGGGTCATGACCCCCATGACCCCCCCTGGATCCGCCGTTGTTATAGATATATACTACGGTATATATTAAGGTTACACATAGTATATATATGTATACTATGTGTTACCGGTAAATGTGCACATTTGCCAAAAAGTTGGGTAGATATATGTGAACTGAATATAATGTATAGTCCGACGCTTGAAAGGCAAACGTGAATAAGCGACAATCCGTGAACTTTACAGTAGACTAATTTAAAGTTGAAATACTTGAATATTTTTTTTTTATAAAAAACGAATCTAGCTGTAGGAGAATATAGCTAGTAGCTGTAGGATTGAAATTATTTTAATAGACCTAGAAATATATATTTTTTGCGCATCGAATATGGTTATCGCCTATCATTTATGTACAAAGCAGTTATTGTCGCTTAGTCACGTTTGCCTTTCAAGCGTCGATTATGTACATTTCCCGGCAAATGTGTATGTACTCTTGCCTTCACGTTTTGGTAAATGTACACTCATGTAATCTTCATGTTTTAAGAATAGTACAAATAAATTAAAAATGTTGTTGCAGTAAAAAAATATTTATTTAAATAAACATAATACAAAAGGCTTTAATAACGAAAATGATTTTAATTATAAAATGTAAACGACTAACAAAACGTAGCTTTTCTTTGCATATTAGTTAGGTTAGGATCTACTGGTGCTAGCTAGGTATTACTATCACTTGCGATTTCGTATTGTGTATGCTCACATTTACCAAAACGACATGGTCATTGTGAATTCAATGTACATTTCCCTTCTTTGAAACTGTAAATGTTAGTTGAATTCACATTACCCAAACGAGGAGGCAAATGTGCACATTTACCGGAAAATGTGTTACATTTACCGCAATATCTACTTTTACCGTAACATATATATGTCTCCGACATATTATTATATACTCCTGTGTGTACTATAAATACGATAGACTCCCATGGGTCCGTGTGTTAAAAACTGTCAAATATGGCTCTAAATTTCAGTACAAAGCAGACATTACCTGCCCCCCGGAACTGGTAGAGATGGGTACGGCGCTGATGAAGCTAACGGCGTAAGTTCATTTGCTTTACTTTTGAAATTGAAAGTTTGTTATTGCTGATGTATGCTGTTTGGCATTAATGAGGGCCCGTCTCTATGCCTAGTGCTAAGATATCATGTGTTTCGGTTTTAGAGATAAACTGGACATGTGTCAAAGTGGATGGTGGATTCACGTTTAATTTCCCTGGAATTCGTGTCCACTCAACACTGAAAGAGATTACCATGAGCTAATTAACGTTTATCAAAAAATACGATTTTTAAATAACCCCTAATAAACAACAGATGGCGCTATTATACGAAAATTTGTTTCAGGAACCTGCGAAGTATAGCTTCGAATATATGGTGAAGGACGAGTATTCTGGAAATGATTTCGGTCACCACGAAACCCGGCTCGGTGATAGAGCAGAAGGAATTTATTACGTAGTTCTACCCGACGGCAGGAAACAGGTAACTCTTTGAAAAAAAAAAATATTTGAGTAGACACTAGCGACCCGCCCTCGCTTCGCTTCGGAAACTGTAATTTATTATTGATTTCTCCACTATTTAATGGATGTTATTATACATATAAAACTTCCTCTTCAATCACTCTATCTATTAAAAAAAACCGCATCAAAATACGTTGCGTAGTTTTAAAGATTAAAGCATACATAGGGATATAGGGACAGAGAAAGCTTGTTTTATACTATGTAGTGATGCCCAGTAGATTTTTAAAATGTATAGTCTACATATAAAGCCCGTTGTTTTTTTTTGACAGTAACTAACTACTCAAAGCACAAGTAGAGAATTACGGATGCATATTGAATGATCATTTTATTGCATTTTTATTGCTACCATCTATTGTTGAATAGAATTTTCTATTGAAAATTGACTTCTTAATTTATTGCTCAATAGATGCTGTTACTAAATTGTTTCTATGTAATTTTACTATTCAACCATAGATGTCACTATTAACAATTCATATTTTAGACCGTTGAATATGAAGCCGATCAAGAGGGATACAAACCAAGAATTTCCTACGAAGACACCGGTCTTGGAGCCTTCAGAGCCGGCCAGGGATATGTCAATGGAGGCTACAGCCAGGACGGGCCCTACTAGTCGATAACAAAGGCTACCAACCCATCATTTGTATATAAACATTTTGATGAACCATTAAATATCAAAAATTTTCAGATTTTTTTATTTTATCGATTCACTTAAAACTCAAAACTTTTGGTAATTTAATGACAGAAAAAACTTCTAAAAGTACATTAATGTACGCTAACTTTCTTTTATTACACTTCAAAACATTTTTATTTATATTTTTTTCAATGTACTTTTTGTTAATTTTAAAACCACCGGTATTAGTAATAATTAACATTCGCTTTTTGTAAAACATAAACTCACTGAGATTTAACTTCCTTATCGTTTTCCAAATACCTTTACGCTGTATTTTCTTGTTATTTGGTAATTTATAACGAATTCATGTAAAAACTTGCGCTTTTAATACTAATTAACGTGAAATATTGTAAATAAACAACGTAAGGCTTATTTAGTCTTTAAGCTTTTCATAAAAATATAAATTGACCAAGATATTGTATTGTATTTTTTATTCAATATTCTATAAACTATTTTTAGTTTTGGGAATTTGGCCAGTATAAAAAAATACGATTTGAAATAATAATAATTTAGAAATTGAGCTCCTTTTAATGTTTTTGTAGTCAAACTTCTTTAGAATCGTTGTGATTTCAAACTCAATGAAACGAAAAATTAAGACCATACAGACACGAACACAAACGATAGGATTCGGCCGGCGAGAGAATCTGATAGAAGCATGGAGTTAATAAGTACCTACAACTGGAGTGCTGTCTAATGCCGAGAAATCGGTCTCGAAAGAGAATACTTTTTGGTCGCGGTGTCCTTGTCTAATGTGGTGACCATATATAATTTAATTATAGGACAAAATTATACACATGCATCAGTTTTGAATTTACCTTAAGTAATTCTGTGTAACCCTATGTAAATACAAAACACGNAGAATATAGCTAGTAGTTGTAGGATTGAAATTATTTTAATAGACCTAGAAATATATATTTTTTGCGCATCGAATATGGTTATTGCCTATCATCTATGTACAAAGCAGTTATTGTCGCTTAGTCACGTTTGCCTTTCAAGCGTCGATTATGTTCATTTCCCGGCAAATGTGTATGTACTCTCGCCTTCACGTTTTGGTAAATGTACACTCATGTAATCTTCATGTTTTAAGAAAAGTTGGAATACAAATAAATTAAAAATGTTGTTGCAGTAAAAAAATATCTATTTAAATAAACATAATACAAAAGGCTTTAATAACGAAAATGATTTTAATTATAAAATGTAAATGACTAACAAAACGTAGCTTTTCTTTGCATATTAGTTAGGTTAGGATCTACTGGTGCTAGCTAGGTATTACTAGCACTTGCAATTTCGTATTGTGTATGCTCACACTTACCAAAACGACATGGTCATTGTGAATTCAATGTACATTTATTTCCCTTCTTTGAAACTGTAAATGTTAGTTGAATTCACATTACGCAAATGAGGAGGCAAATGTGCACATTTACCGGAAAATGTGTACATTTACCGCAATATCTACTTTTACCGTAACAAATATATGTCTCCGACATATATACTCCTGCATGTACTATAAATACGATAGACTCCCGTGGGTCCGTGTGTTTAAAACTGTCAAATATGGCTCTAAATTTCAGTACAAAGCAGACATTACCTGCCCCCCGGAACTGGTAGAGATGGGTACGGCGCTGAGGAAGCTAACGGCGTAAGTTCATTTGCTTTACTTTTGAAATTGAAAGTTTGTAATTGCTGATGTATGCTGTTTGGCATTAATGTAGGCCCGTCTCTATGCCTAGTGCTAAGATATCATGTGTTTCGGTTTTAAAGATAAACTCGACATGTGTCAAAGTGGATTTAATTTACCTGGAATTCGTGTCCACTCAACACTGAAAGAGATTAACCATGAGCTAATTTATTTTTACCAAAAATACGATTTGTTAAATAACCAACAGATGGCGCTATTATACGAAAATTTGTTTCAGGAACCTGCGAAGTATAGCTTCGAATATATGGTGAAGGACGAGTATTCTGGAAATGATTTCGGTCACCATGAAACCCGGCTCGGTGATAGAGCAGAAGGAATTTATTACGTTGTCCTACCTGACGGCAGGAAACAGGTAAATCTTTGAAAAAAAAAAAATTTGAGTAGACACTAGCGACCCGCCCTCACTTCGCTTCGGAAACTGTAATTTATTATTGATTTCTCCATTATTTAATGGAAGTTATTATACATATAAACCTTCCTCTTCAATCACTCTATCTATTAAAAAAAACCGCATCAAATTCGTTGCGTATTTTTAAAGATTTAAGCATACACAGGGATATAGGGACTAAGAAAGCGACTTTGTTTTATACTATGTAGTGATGCCCAGTAGATTTTTAAAATGTATAGTCTACATATAAAACCCGTTTTTTTTAACAGTAACTAACTACTCAAAGCACAAGTAGAGAATTACGGATACATATTGAATGATCATTTTATTGCAATTTTAATGCTACTATCTATTGTCGAATAGAATTTTCTATTGAAAATTGACTTCTTAATCTATTGCTCAATAGATGCCGTCACTAAATTGTTTCTATGTAATTTTACTATTCAACCATAGATGTCGCTATTAACAATTAATATTTTAGACTGTTGAATATGAAGCCGATCAAGAGGGATACAAACCAAGAATTTCCTACGAAGACACCGGTCTTGGAGCCTTCAGATCCGGCCAGGGATATGTCAATGGAGGCTACAGCCAGGACGGGCCCTACTAGTCGATAACAAAGGCTACCAACCCATCATTTGTATAAACATTTTTATAACCTACTAAATAAAAAAAAAACAGATTTTGATTTTAGAGATTCACTTAAAACTCTAAATTGTCGGTACATACTTTATATTATGTACCGACAATTTAGAGTTATTATATTTATAGTTAGCGTACTTTTAGAAGTTTTGTCTGTCAATAATGACAGACAAAACTATTTTAAACTAAAAGTACGCTAACTTTCCTTTTACTCTTCAAAACATTTTTATTTATATTTTTTTCAATGTACCTTTTGTTAATTTTAAAACCACCGGTATTAGTAATGATTAACATTCGCTTTTTGTAAAACATAAACTCACTGAGATTTAACTTCCTTATCGTTTTCCAAATACCTTTACGCTGTATTTTCTTGTTATTAGTAATTCTTAAATAATTCATGTAAATACTTGCGTTTTTAATACTGATTAACGTGAAATATTGTAAATAAACAACGTAACGCTTATTTAGTCTCTAAGCTTTTCATAAAAATATAAATTGATCAAGATGTATTGTATTTTTTATTCAATATTCTATAAACTATTTTTAGTTTTGGGAATTTGGCCAGTATAAAAAAAATACGATTTCAAATAATAATAATTTAGAAATTGAGCTCGTTTTTAATGTTTTTGTAGTGAAACTTCTTTAGAATCGTTGTGTTTTTAAGCTCGATGAAACTAAAAAATAAGTCCATAGAGACCCGAACACATAAATGTATAGAATTCAACCGGCGAGAGAATCAGATAGAAGACATTAAATTTAGATGATCTCAGTGTAGTTTTTTAATACATCGCCATCTATAATTTTTTATTACTAACGTCTTGTAGTGAATTTAAATTTAGGATTATACGTGAAGTTAAAATATCAATTCACAGAGGGCGCTACCTCATACTATAAAAGATGATTTACAATTGTTTTCTAATGACAAAATTTTATATATACTTAGACATTTAGGATAGTAGTATCTTATTTTTTAAAGGTTTCACTTCTACCACGTGTGAATTGCACACATGTATTTTTTTTTTCTTTTTCATAACAAGTCATTACGGATCCTGCCGATCCACTCTCGCCGCTTTGGATTCTTCTAGCACCGGTCACCGTCATCGTCAAACTCGTCCAAAACGATAGAGTTTGACGTGCAACCTAGTCTATAGCTCTCGCCGGATCTTCTCAGTGGGTCGCGCTTCCGATCCGGTGGTAGATTCTGCGAAGCACTGCTCTTGCTAGGGTCAGTGTTAGCATCACTCCGGTTTAAGCTCCATGAGCTCACCTACTAGTTAAGGTTACGCTGAAATAGCCTCTCAAGGCTATCAGCTTAGGTAGGAAAAAAAGTCCATAGACACAGCCTACTGGGTCGCGATTCCGGTCCGGTGGTTGATTCAGCGAAGCACTCCTCTTGCTAGGGCTAGTGTCAGCAAATTCTCTCAGATTGAGCCCGTGAGCTCACCTACACATTGGTGAAGCTAGCGTAACCTATCGAGGTTACTAGCAGTAAATAAACAAAACAAAATGTATTTCATACTAGCGACCCGCCCTCACTTCGCTTCGGAAACATTAAATATTATTATTGATAGCTTAGTCCCGCGATGTCACCCGCGGTTATTGTCGTACCGCGGGTGACGCCGCGGGGCAAGTTAGTCTAAAAAATGTAGCTTAAGTTACTCCTTATATCATCAGCTATCTATCAGTGAAAGTCTCTTCAAAATCGGTGGAGATTAGCGGAACAAACAGACAGACAGACAGACAAAAATTGTAAAAAATGTTAGTTTGGTGTATGTATGTATGGTTGAATAGGTATATTATATTCATATGCATGTAGTAAAAAGTGGTTATTTCAATATTACAAACAGACACTCCAATTTTATTTATTTATTTAGATTATAGAATATCTAATCTTTCTAAATACCAAACTTGAAACAAACGTTCGTAAGTAAATAAATTTTGGGCGAGATAATTTATTAGAATTTAGCAAAAAAATTACTTAAATCTGCATCATTTAAGATAATATTCAAACTAAAAAAAATAAAAATTTATTTATAAATAAAAACACAAAATAATTCACTGACAAATTTATTTATGTATAGGCAAGTCTACCGATTAATGTTACTAAAAATACATTGTTTGTTAATAAAACTATGTCTTACCTAATATTTTGTGGTCAAGAATGAAAAGTATCACAAGAATAATTAAAATAATAATAATAAATATTTACTAACAATCACGCCACGTTAACTGGTCCCGTAATAAACTTGTGTTACAGGTACCAGATAACGGAAATAAATGTAAGATTTTTATTATACACATACATATTATATTTAATATGCATCCATAACCCTGGAAAAGACATTTATATTTATCATACAAATATCTTCCCTTGGCGGGATTCGAACCCGCGACCCCCTTGTGTAATGACCATATCACTTACCACTACACCAGACGTATAATAAATAAATGAAAAGAGAGAATTAAATTAAATTGAGAATCAGAATATCTATATAATCTATATATGTATCTATATAATCTAGCGGTAGGCAGCGGCTTGGCTTTGCCCCTGGCATTACTGAAGTCCATGGGCGAAGGTAACCACTCACCATCAGGTGGGCCATGCACTCGTCTGCCTACAATGGCACTAAAAAAAATAAAAATATATATTTTACATTAGTTTTTAATTAAGTCACAAAATGTGTTGTTATTACAAATTGAAGTTTTCAAAAAGTCCTGCACAAAATCATGGATATTGCATCTCAAATGATGTACATAAAAATAAAACATAATATAAATCGCTTAACAAAAAAAAAACACAAAATAGGAAATCAAATTGTAACCTGAAATTGTTTATTTCTAATTAATAAAATATTAATGTAGATATAACTAATATAAAAACACGATTTAGCACAGGACTAAAACATCAACTCGAGAGTTTGAAAGTCGTTATGGTAATAAGAAGCCGAAACGCATTACTGCTCACGGCTGAAATAGGTAGGGTGGTAGTACCTACCCGTGCGTACTCACAAGAGGTCCTACCACCAGTCAACCTGTTGCTCAAGGGCGGATCCAGCTTTGGCGCCAGGAGGGGGTCACATAGTCAAATTTAGATGCGTTCGTTCCCAAGCGTTTGCCATTATACAAAGTTATTATATTATTATATTAAATTAATTAAATATTGAAGGTATGTAGTTAAATAAAATCTGTATGGTGACAAAATATATAAATAAAATCATTATATTCAATTAGTGGTCCACCTAAGTCCTGGAACCAGCTCAGGGGGTGGTCATGACCCCCATGACCCCCCCCCTGGATCCGCCATTGCTGTTGCTTGACGTTAGATATTAATAAGAGTCCATAGACATCACTAGCTCATTCAGTAGACCTTGCCCTCTAACAAAATAATACCTACATTTAATGCTATATATTAATCATTGGTATTTAATTAAAACAGACCGTATTGTGAGAGTTCTTAAGACTAAATTGACTCGAATAAGTAATACAGACAATAAAATCGCGGTTCTGTGGGAACACGCGGACTCGCCCAGCGACGCACCTCGAGACAAACACCATAGATCAGCCAGCGGTCGGGGAACTTTTTTCATTATTACCCCAAAATATTTTTGTGTGTGAGTCGATATAACCCCATGGCGAAGAACAAAAAAAACGAAATCGCTTCTTTTTAGCATCTTTCATATTATAGGCCCCATGATAATTTGAAATCACAACGATTCTAAATAAGTTTCACTTCAATATATACTTTTTACTGACAAAAGTTTCATTTTTACCCCCCAAAATTTAATTTTACCCCATTTGGGATAATTTACCCCCCCCGGTTCCCTGACCGCTGCCATAGATAATACACATAAATTAATTATAGATAAGCAACTCGAGCACTCAACAAAAAATGTTTACGGGCGTCGGCCACTAGATGGCTTCGCTTCGATTAGTTTCTCATTGCTCCTGTAGATGGCAGTAACATATTACCTAACCTATATTTTATTTGTGATAAAGGATTTTGTAAATTTTTAATAACCACAACTTGATAAAATTTAATCAATTTATCTATAACAAATAAAGACTTGTATGGTTTTTTATTTATTTTCTGTGTAAACAGTAATTAAATGCCTTAACTTTAACAACATATAAGTTTAGGGGAATCCGCTACAAGATGTCGCTAGTTTCCATGCAAACACAATATTTGTCTTAAAGAGCCCTGAAAAACACAGCACCACTGTGCCGCGAGCGCATAGTTATAACAAGATAAACTATAGACAAACATTACTATACTAAAATTTAGAATATGTATAATATATACATGTCGAGGGGTGAAATGATAAACGGTTTGAGCGACATTTTACCTTTGTAATAAAAGGTGCGTTTTATTTGGTATCAGCATCAAAAATTCGATATTTTTAATTGAACCTCAATTAAGTTTACTCTATTCAAATGGCTGAAGATATTTTTTTATTGTGATATTTTTTTCCAAATTAAAATTGCAACAATGTCGTTTAAACCAAATAACCGTTCCACCCTCAATATATATTAATTATAAATGTTTTTTTTTTCTCTCTTAAAATTTAAAATAAATGTTTTTAATATAAGAGTATTTCGTAATGAGAATGTTACAGAAATTTAAAATTATTGAGAAGTTCCGCCCAAAATCGTTAATGATTTTAAGATTACTAAATAATTATAATATTATATATATTAATTGGCATTATGTTAGCCTATATACACATGTATAGCCAACGTGCGCGAGAAAGTTGTTTAATGCATAAAAAACATTATTATAGTTGATATAAGGCAGCGTTTTCCAAAGTGGGCGATAACGCCCCCTTGTGGGCGCAAGGTCTTGGGGGCAGTAAGAGACCCAGAAAATAAATGGGGGCTTGGGAGGCGATTTGCGGTCGTCAGCGCAAAAATGACCTAACCCAAAAAAAATATATATTCGTGCTTGCAATATATATTGCAATTTATTGAAAACCTAATAAATTTTGATGCACCATCAGCCAATCCCTAGTTTCACCCACATAGATAACAGATGGCTTTGTAGGCATACGAGCTTACGGCCCACCTGATGGTAAGTGGTTACCGTCGCTCATAGACATCAGCAATGCCAGGGGTAGAGCCAAGCCGCTGCCTACCATTAACTCATGTCCGTGAGGCCGCATGAGATCAAGACCAATGAATACCAAGTCCCAATGTTGTCCCTAAGCATGGACATGCTGACGGTGCGGATGAGGTATTTTCGAGAGGCAAGATTCGACTTCTTTACAGTGCGCATGAGCACTGATGATCCTCCCAAAAACCACCCTGAAAGAAATCTGGACACGCTGGCCTTCAACACTAGAGGACAGTCGCGCAAGGAGCTTTTTAAAGCTCACAACGCAATCAACGATTTAACAAATTTCGAACTTTGGTAACATTAAACGCTAATTCTAATTTAAGTACAGTCGCTATATAAAAAATAAATAAAAAAATTTGCGACAAAATGAGATTCCACCACGAGATTATAACACGTTTTTAACATAAACAATATGACCAGAATATTTGCTTTTACTTGATGGATCTCTATTTAGTTTATCGAATATCCACATCCCTATGGTGCTCTGTGTTCCTTGACCACATCACTAGTATAGTGGAATACTGTGTGCACGTCATTGAGGCGTGAGACGCGACCGGGTCATTTTTCATGGGTCATTTCTTATATATACATGTAGATTTAACTGCGAGCACAATCTAGTAAGTCTAGTGAGTAATATTTGCGTCTGTACTGGCGACACCCCGCGCGGTCCCGCTGAGCCGTGCCAGCACTGTTACTGTTGATTAGTATTATGATGAATAGAAAATCTCATCTTTCAATTTATATTCGAGATTCGTTACTAGTGAGTGTACTATGTTTTGCAGTAACAGTACTTGTTGAGGTGGGGGTGCGTGGCGCTGATGCAGCTGGGCTCGTCGTTGTACCTGAAATCACCAATAATATATCTAGGAAATCACCAATAATATATCTCGGAAATCACCAATAATATATCTAGGAAATCACCAATAATGTACCTAGGAAAACACCCATAATATACTTTCGGAAATCACCAATAATATATTTAGGAAATCACCAATAATATATCTCGGAAATCACCAATATTATTGAGGATCGTACAGTCCCCGACAAAAAGCAGTGCCCATCGACTGTACGGAGACGACTTCGGCGGGGACTGTACCGACCGGTTCAACTAAATCAATGTAGTGTACGTACGCGTTCGTCCTGGATATGTCTCTGGACTCGATGAGGAACTTGTCCTCCTTTCTCAGGTACGCGAGCGAGGCCTCGTATATCCCCTCGCCGGGACCAACGGAGATCTGAAAGGTGAGGAACTTCAGCAATGGTACGGTCGGGAGCCCAGGAGCTCAGCTCAACAGAATTTGCTACCACCAGCCCTAGCAAGAGCAGTGCTTCGCTGAATCTACTACCGGATCGGAATCGCGAAATATTTCGATAATATCCTGCAAAGCACCCCACGCTTTTTTTTTTACAATAAAATCATTTTTTCTTAGACTATTTTTAATTCAAATTTATTAAAATTTATTTTCTATTTTTACACGCTTCAATTGTATGTATGTTTGTATGTTAGTAACTGACTCCTTTAGACGCGATTTTGACCCACTTTAAACGGCCAGATTTCATTCTAACTTTGTAGATTTATCGAGGACCGATGACAATACACTAATTAAATAAGATTATTCCATTTTTCAATTTGCAAAATAAGATTTTTGCCAATTTATATAATTTTTATCTATAGTCGATAAAGCAGGAATTGATGTTAAAGTACTTAATAGTTTTAAAAATACGTTTATATAGAAAATTTAACTAAAAAATGAAAAATAAATAATAGTTAAAAAAAATAAAAAAAAACACGCTTTAAAATTCAACTAAAAAATACAAAATAAATTTTAATAAATTTAAATTGAAAATGGTGTAAAAAAATATATTTTATTTAAAAAAAAGCGTGGGGTGCTTTTTAAGATATTATTGAAATAATAATTCTTCTACTCATATCTGTCAGAAAAATATTTATAACTATGTACTAATAACACCATGCAGTTTAGTTTTTTTAAACTATTATTTATTTATTTTAGTTGGATTTTCTATAAAGCGCATTTTTTTAAAGTTCTTTTAAATTATTATTTATATGTATATTTTCAATAAATTCAAATCAAGCAGTACGTCAATTCGAAATAGTAATGTCACAGTCGCAACTAGTACATACCTTGACCTGCAAGTTCTCCCTGTTGACCTTGAGCTTGGCTCCGAACTTCCCCACGTAGCCGTCCGCGTCCTTGGCCTCGATGAAGGAGAGCACCCTACTGTTGGCGTGGGCCCTCAACACCCAGTGGACTGCGGACAGCGTGCGGGGGACGCACGACGCTCTGAGGGGACGAAGGGGGGGGCCTTATTGAGGGACCACACTGGCATAGGGTGGATGGGTGGCCACTTGGCGTTGTGGTTGGTGAAGCCCATAGACATCTACGACGTAAATGCGCCACCCACCTCGAGATATAAGTTCTAAGGTCTCAGTATAGTTACAACGGCTACCCCACCTTTCGAACCGAAACGCATTACTGCTTCACGGCGGAAATAGGCAGGGCGGTGGTACCTATCCGCGCGAACTCACAAGTGGTCCTACCACCAGTAATTACGCAAATTATAATTTTGCGGGTTTGATTTTTATTACACGATGTTATTCCTTCACCGTGGAAGTCAATCGTGAACATTTGCTGAGTACGTATTTCATTGGAAACATTGATACCCGCCTGCGGGATTCGAACACCGGCGCATCGCTACATACGAATGCACCGGACGTCTTATCCTTTAGGCCACGACGACTTCAAAATCTATTGATGGCATGCATTGCTATGCGGATGATAGCACGGGGGATGCGCGATATATTGGCCATCAGTTTTTTTCGAAGCGTTGTACACGAGAGGCGATTAAAACTGGTGTCTGAAGTGGAGAACTTTCTGGGGCGGGTCTCCAAGTGGGGTGAACTGAATTCAGTTCAGTTCAACCCATTGAAGACACAGATTTGCGCGTTCACCGCGAAGAAGGACCCTTTTATCATGGCGCCGGAATTTCAAGGAGTATCCCTGCAGCTTTCCGCGAGTATCGGGATTCGGGGGGTCGACATTTCGAGCGATGTCCAGTTTCGGAGTAATTTGGAAGGTAAAGCCAAATTGGCCTCTAAAATGTTGGGAGTTCTCAACAGAGCGAAGCGGTATTTCACGCCTAGACAGAGACTTGCGCTTTATAAAGCGCAAGTCCGACCTCGCGTGGAGTACTGCTCTCACCTCTGGGCCGGGGCTCCCAAATACCAGCTACTTCCGTTTGACTCCAGAAACGGGCTGTTCGGATGGTCGATAGTCCTGCTCTCGCGGATCGCTTGGAACCTCTGGGTCTACGGAGGGACTTCGGTTTTCTCTGTGTTTTATACCGTATGGTCCATGGGGAATGCTCTGAGAAATTATTCGAGATGATACTGTCATCTCCTTTTTATCATCGCACCTCCCACCATCGGAGCAGAGTTCATCCATATTATCTGGAACCGCTGCGTTCATCGACAGTGCGTTTCCAAAGATCTTTTTTGCCACGTACCATCCGGCTATGGAATGAGCTCCCCTCCACGGTGTTTCCCGAGCGCTATGACATGTCCTCCTTCAAACGAGGCTTGCGGAGAGTACTCTATGGTAGGCAGCGGCTTGGCTCTGCCCCTGGCATTGCTGACGTCCATGAGCGACAGTGACCACTTACCATCAGGTGGGCCGTATGCTCGTCTGCCTACAAAGACAAAAAAAAAAGATGTCTATGGGCATCGGTAGCCGCTTAACACCAGGTGGGCTGTGAGCTCGTCCACCCATCTAAGCATTAAAAAAAAAACGTGTGGCACTCGGGGAATGCCGCGGTAAAGCTATTGCATAGCATTTTTTATCAACTTATGCAATTATAATTAGACAATGATAATTTAATATTAAAACAATAATAAAACAAGACCACGCTATATTAAACATTAATAAAAGCAAAACATTAACTGTCCCCTTCACACTCATAAGCTAGACCGCGCGAAAGAGAGATGGGCAGACTTCTCATGTTGCGCATGCAGTGTGACGTCACGCCACGCGCTTATTCACAAATACTACACAAGCGCAACGTGTGAATGTGTTGAACGCGAGCTGCATGGTAGGCGGCGTGAGGGGTGTAAGGTTTTTTTCGTTACGGAATTTCATGATTCGGTCGCTGCGCTCAAGGCCCGCGATAAAATCTATGCAATAGCTTAAATGTTTGATATATCGAAAAACATCGATGTGTATTTGAAAGGAACATCCCTAGTGCTGACCTTTTGGGCTCGGTGAGCGTGTTGATGTAGTGCAGCAGGGCGCGGGGGGCGGCGGCGTGCAGCGGGTCGGCGGGGGGCACGGGGCTCCAGCGCACGCACGCGCACCAGTGCGGCTCGATGCCCGCCTCGCTGCACGACCGGTTCCGCGGGATCTGGACATAGCACTTCATCTGACGCCGCCACGTATCTACTTGAGCTGGTACTGTACTGAGGCGTCTCATGTCTCAAGGTGGGTCGTGGAAGGGGTTCCTTGTCTAGAGCTCGGCTCGTGGAAGGGATCTCATGTTTCAAGCTGGGCCGTGGACTTTATGTTGTATTTATTGGCCCCGTTAAGTATCTACTGCCAGGTGAACTGCAACTCTGCCCCCCGTACAGTGCCAACTGAAGATAAAAATCTCAAGCCTGCACCAATTGTAAATTTATATTAAAATATTTAGTTTTGTAACAGTTGATAGTTCTGAGTATGAGACAGAGTTCAAAGAGAGTTCCTTACATTTATGTCACCCTGGTACTTTCGAGAGGTATTTAGACGCGTAACTTCACTCTGCTTAGACGAGCAGACAGCTCACTTGAGGATAAGCACGCGAACTTAGGGTCAGAGACGTGTGCGCATGTAATGGTAAGTGGTACTCGGACCTCAAACAAATGCCACCTTGAGACATGAGGTCGAAGTTTCTAAGACGACTTGCGAGAGAATCAGAATCGTAATATTTTTAGTTTCGTCATTGTTCGAGTATTGACACTATCAGTGTGTTGTCGATAGGCAAATTCTCACAAACGTATCGATGTTTTACTGAAGATTTTTCAAGATTTGCATCGTTATCATCACGTTGTTCCACTTTCACGACGTTGGAAGCTGTATCCCTCTCTCTCTCTCTCTCACTCTCCCCCTCTCTATCTCCCTCACTCTCCCTCTCTCTATCTCCCTCACTCTCCCTCTGTATCTTTCTCTCCTCTATCTCTCTCACTCTCTCTCCCTCTCTCTCAGTCACTCCCATTCTCTCTCCCTCTCTCTTTCCTCTCGTCCCTTAATCAAATCGAATTTCCCCTGGTAAAGCGTGGGCTGACGGCAGCTACTGACCGGCTGCAGCAGGGAGAGCGCGCGCGGCAGGTCGGCGCCGGGCACGGTGTAGGCGGGGGGCGGGGCGGGGCGGCGCAGCGCGTCGAGCAGCGTGGCGTGCACGTCGTGCGGCGTGGTGAGCGCGGCGCGGTTGTGTCGCAGCGCGTCGAGCACGTCGGGCCGCGCTCGCACCAGCCGCGCCGCCGGGACCACCACCATCAGCGGCAGACGCTCCTCCAGCTTGCCCTGCAGCGTGTTGCGGACCTTCGAGTACCTGGAAATATCTATATATTAATACGGTAGACAGCGGCTTGGCTCTGCCCCTGGCATTGCTGAAGTCCATGGGCGACGGTAACCACTCACCATCATGTGGACCATATGCTCGTATGCCTACAAGGGCAATAAACAAAAAAAAGTACTCTCCTCAAGCCTCATATGACGTAGGACATGTTCATAAAGGTCGGGACACACCCAAAGTGCTTGCAGCACTAAAGCCCGAACTACCACAAACTGAAATACTCCAGCCGAGATGCTCTGTGAATATTTGTTCAGCAAATCATGACTCCTTCATTAACAGAAATAGCACCAGAGTATTTTACCAATGCCGTTAACGAACCTCTCCACGAGATAAAACATAGGATTAGGTGGAGGGAAGTCGTCGTGGCCTAAAGGATAAGACGTCCGGTACATTCGTGTGTAGCGATGCACCGGTGTTCGAATCCCGCAGGCGGGTACCGAGTTTTCTAATGAAATACGTACTTAACCAATGTTCACGATTGACTTCCACGGTGAAGGAATAATATAGTGTAATAAAAAATCAAACCCGCAAAATTCTAATTTGCGTAATTACTGGTGGTAGGACCTCTTGTGAGTCCGCGCGGGTAGGTACTACCGCCCTGCCTATTTCTGCCATGAAGCAGTAATGCGTTTCGGTCTGAAGGGTAGGGCAGCTGTTGTAACTATACTGAGATCTTAGAATATCTTAAGGTGGGTGGTGCATTTACGTTGTAGATGCCTATGGGCTCCAATAAACACTTAAGACCAGGTGGTCTATGAGCTCGTCCACCCATATAAACAATAAAAAAAGGGGGAAACAACAAGGTGACTACAGGAGTCACGCTCCTCAACAGTGGAAGCACGCAAGGCGGCTCTATCTATGGTCCAGGGTGTAGTAGACGCGGCGGCCTTGGCACTTTCAATGAGCCTGTTACATTTGGACCAAATGGACCAGATATAAGGTAGACAGATTTTCTGCTCCTAACCCGCAGGGGTGGGAACACGCAGTCCTAAGTCTACCTGTAGTCACGGCGCTTGCGACGGCGAAAGAATTATCAAAATCGGGGGTAATAGGGACTAGGGGTAGAATAGGGACAAATCTGGGTTGTCACAAAGCTTTCGTGAGATTTAAATTGAATTGAATTGAAAAGGACTTTTATTTAGTGTTTATGAATATTAAATAGTTTAATTTAGTCATCTGAGTTTTTTAACTGATTAAAGATATTGAAAAACTAATTGCCTAAAGATACTATAGTACCTATCTAACAACTAAACAGTGCCAGCCCTATCGAAAAACTATTATCCCCATACGTGACCCGATTCACCCCAAAAGCCACGGTGTGTCAGGTCAAGCTAGTTTTTTCAGTTTTTGGGTATATTTTTCAATGAACTATGTATAGTAATGCATCGTATATGAACATTTAAGTCTCCGGAACCGTTTTAATCTCAATTTTATTGGTATTACCCTAAGAAAAATCGCTAAAAATTTGTGTTGGAATGGGAAAGCGTCCCTACTCCCCCCAATCTACTGTAATTTATTTAAATTTAATACTATGATGTCAAAAGTTATGAGTATGTAAACATTGTAATTTCGTGGCCACTTCGTTCCCTTTTATCTATGAAGAGCTAATAACAATTATATGTCATAAATTATCTGTTGCTTATTATTTTTTTTTGTAAATTATCATCTCAGAATATTATTTCCAAGAATACAAGACGTGTTGATTTTACTAATTAAAATCACTAGAGGTCCCGCAGTACTCAAAACTCGACTATAATTAATTGGAATTGTAAGTTTGTACACTATTATGATTGTATTTTATACTTCTATAATCACAAATTTCGCCAAGGCTACTCTATAAAAAACTATTAATAAAGACAAACAATATTTAATCTATTCTCAATTTGACCATAGACGTCAAGAACAAAAGTTTGACAATAAATAAATTGTATGCATGCGTGTGTGCGTCAAATACATGGTAGTGTGTGTAATGTTTTCTTTATTGATTTAATGTATCTTTTATGCATTATTTTAAAAAAATATTAGCATTGTGCACTCCTTCTCTATATTCTCTATAAGTGTGGAAATTTTCACACTCCTCCGTCCGCGCAATTTTCGTAAAAAGGGATACAAAGTTTTTGCTTCACGTGTTAATATATAGATAACAAAAAAAAAGTCATAGAATAATAATAAATCTTGGTGACAAGCTAACTTCTGCACTAACGCTACGTTGTCCATAAATTTGGGTGGGATTTCTTATTATTTACTTTTTTATCTTTTAATAACTTTGTGACTGTGAAATAATATTCAATTCGGATTACACATTTCCCGTCCGCTGCCCATCCTATGTCACGAATCAATTTTTTACCTGTATAAAAAAAATTATATAGGCAGAGTATAGTTAAAATGATACCTGGGTCCGTGGTCGCCCATCACGAATAGCATGGTATTCTCAAGCCTTCCTTGTTCCTTGAACAGCTTCAAGAAGTCGACAGTGTCATCGTCAGCTGTCGATATCATGTTGATGTCGTCATGAGTTATGTCCGCTATGAAGGTGAAGCAAAACTTCTTGCCGTCCAAACGAAAGAACTGGAAATATTTATGTGAGGAGGTTAGGGAACATCAATCCGGCTTATAGGACTTTTTGGCGGGAACGCGAGGAGTGAAGTTTTATTTTTTTCGAGATCGTATATATTTTACTGGTGGTAGAACCTCTTGTGAGTACACACGGGTAGGTACCACCACCCCGCCTATTTCTGCTGTGAAGCAGTAATGCGTTTCGGGTTGAAGGGTGGGGCAGCTGTTCTAACTATACTGAGACCTTAGAACTTATATCTCAAGGTGTGTGGCGCATTTACGTTGTAGATGTCTATGGGCTCCAGTAACCACTTAACACCAGGTTGGCTGTGAGCTCGTCCGCACATCTAAGCGTTAAAAAAAATATCCAAAGGACTTGTTATATTTAGTCACGTGTCCTTGCACAATAGAGAAGAAAGAGATAGAGAGAGAGAGAGATATAGCTTCCAACGTCGTAAATTTTTTTTTACTTAGATTGGTGCACAAGCTCACAGCCCACACGATGTTAAGTGGAACAAAGTGCTTATAATGATGCAATACTTGAAAAATCTTTAGTAAAACATCGATACGTTTGTGAGAATTCACGTATCGACAACACACTGATAGTGTCAATACTCGAACAATGACGAAACTAAGAATATTATGGTTCTGATTATCTCGCAAGTCGTTCTAGAAACTTTGACTCAAGGTGGCATTTGTTTGAGGTCCTAGTACCACTTATCCAACTTACCACTACATGCGCACACGTCACTGACCCTAAGTTCGCGTGCTTATGCTCAAGTGAGCTGTCTGCTCGTCTAAGCAGAGTGAAGTTACACGTCTAAATGCCTCTCGAAAGTACCAGGTTGACATAAATGTAAGGAGCTCTCTTTAGATTCGTTCTCAGGCTCAGAACTACCAACTGTTACAAAACTAAATATTCCAACATAAATTCCAAATCGGAACAGACGGACGAGCAAGAATGACTATCGAAAGTACCAGGTTGACATAAATCTAAGGAGCTAAGTAATAAAAAAAAAGTCCTCGTCCCCTTACCTGATCGGTAATGTTCATCATTAACTTGTACTGAGGAGTGTCTCCTATGCAGTACTTGCTGTTGCTGCCCCTCCACCACTTCTTGCCTCTGTTGGACTCCTCGAGGTAGAATGCCCTCAAGTAATGATCGGCCGGCTGATGGAGGAAACCATTAAACCGGTACTGAAACGTTCCTATCCAGGGCATGTCCTCGAAATATGCCGTGCGGTAACTAGAATACACGGAGAGGTTAGTATAGGGGGCGCCCGCACGTTGCTAAGCAGACGGACAATGATTATACCACTTCATTGAGACTCCGACCTCAAGCCCTGAGGTGGGGGACCGTGTTCTTTTTTTTTAATGCTTAGATGGGGCTCCACCTGGTGTTAAGTGGTTACTGGAGCCAATAGACATCTACAACGTAAATGCGCCACCCACCTTGAGATATAAGTTGTACGACTCAGTATCGTTACAACGGCTGCCCTACCCTTCAGACCGAAACGCATTAGTGCTTCACGGCAGAAATAGGCAGGGCGGTCGTTCCTACCCGTGCGGACTCTCAACACGTCCTACCACCAGTAAAAGTTCACATTACCACGTCCATGACCTCTCGATCACCACTCACCATCTACTGCCATAGACAGAAGACTGTATTTGCTACGAGAATTCCTTGATATTATTACAAATATCCAAACAAATAGACGATTTATTTACTTAATGGTAGGCATCGGCTTGGCTCTGTCCGTCATTGCTGACGTCCATGAGCGACGGTAACAACGTACCATCAGGTGAGCCGTATGCTCGTCTGCCTGCAAGAGCAATTAAATCTATACTAATATTATAAAGCTGAAGAGTTTGTTTGTTTGAACGCGCTAATCTCAGGAACTACTAGTCCGATTTGAAAAATTATTTCAGTATTAGATAGCCCATTTATTGAGGAAGGCTATAGGCTATGTAACATAACGATATGACTAATACAAACTAAGCACCAATAAAGGATGTTTCAAAATCAGGGTTATTTTTCTTTCTACGTAAATGAAGTCGCAGGTAAAAATTTAGCGTTATGCCAAAGTAACTATTCCACGCGGACGAAGTCGCGGGCAAAAGCTAGTAAAAAATAAAAAAATTCAATGTCTAAATTGTTTTTGTAAATATTTATAAGCAATGCAAAAGCAGGGACATAAAAATCATTCCGTGTGGCACGACGCGATCGATACAACACGGCGGGGCCGCCCCCCCTCGTGGGGGACAAGGGGAGGGTAGTGCCGCGTGAGGACGCTCCTACAGTAAGCAGCATGTATTACCCGTCCCCCTTTAGTTGGTTGAATATGAACGGCATACAGTCTAAGGTGTTGCCGTTCTTCGTCTTCTTCCTGACGTCTGGTAGCTCCAACTCGTTCTTGCCCGTGAGTATGGGGAATAAGGCGGCAGGCGTGCCGTCACCGAGTATGCCGTACCTGCCAACAGTTACCATTGGGTGGTCAATAGAGGTGCCAACCCACCACGCATTACTGCCGGCTGGAGCCTTCGAGTTCGTCACTTGACCCCTCCCGTTCGACTCTGGGCCCCCCAATCCACAGTGTTTATTGGGCGCTAAAATATAATATCCTTGATTTAGTATTCCCTGCAAACAGCGACTTGGTCTTGAAGGATCTCAAGTTAACTCAAATTTGTATGGAATTGGAACAGCGCCCCTAGCGGCCACTAAGGACACTGAGGGTTTCACTTGTTCCGCGTGGGAATTTTATGGTTTAAATTGTTCGACATTGCAATTAAAAATTCAACCTCATATCGCAATGTATATGATGTCTATGTACTCACGAACTGAGTATCTGGTTAGCGTAATAAATCTGATTTATTCATTCGAAGGCACATAACAGACAACGATTTCTCATCACCCTGTATATCAATTTAAAGTTCGACATTTAAAAAAAAAAATACATAATAAGTTATGTGATTTCCAACTTGAACACTAATCATACCAACACTTACAGTTACTGGTACCTATTTCTACCATAGCTGGTAGATAACAGTATAAGACAAGTATTACTCAAAATAAATAAAACAAAAACAAAAAAGTATAATTACTCTAGATTAATTGGTAAGAAACTGTCATGCAGTGAAATGTGCAAAAGCAATAAGATGATGCGTGCATTTTCAATGCAAAAGTTCAAAATGGGTCATTTGACCAGTTATGGTACGCTTAGTGTTAAGTTATTGGCGATCGGTTGCAAAACTGTTTGAAAACGGGAGAGCGTTCTTACCCGTCTAGAACGTAGCCATTCAGCTCCTCGGTCAGGTATTTGTAGCTCTTCGGCATACTCCTTATGAAGCCGTTCTTCGACGTGGAATCGAACCCGAATATGAGCACGTCGAGAGCGTCCTCGCGGTCGGGGGGCGGCGCCGCCACCGTCGACCGGAATCCCAGCGAATGACCTGACCACCTCGACGGAAGGATGCTGTCCACGAGATAGTAACGGTATCTTTATTGTGGGCTGCACCGCTTATTGCTCCCTTAATCAGTCATTACCGGCTATTCCACCCTTAGATGGGTGGACGAGCTCACAGCCCACCTGGTGTTAAGTGGTCACTGGAGCCCATAGACATCTACAACGTAAATGCGCCACCCACCTTGAGATATGAGTTCTAAGGTCTCAGTATAGTTACAACGGCTGCCCCACCCTTCGAACCGAAACGGATTACTGCTTCACGGCAGAAATAGGCAGGGTGGTGGTACCTACCCGTGCGGACTCACAAGAGGTCTTACCACCAGTAGACCGACGGTCCGGCCGCTTATTTCTCTCTTAATCAGTAATGCCGCTTACCCCACCCTCTAAAGTAGGAGTTCAAGGGTGGAATAACCGTAATGCAATTACAACAAAGATATACCATTTTCACCATACTTATTCGCTGGCAGCCTAAGGGGCTATTTCAACTACGACCGGACGGGTAGGTGAGTTCACGGGCTCAACCTGAGAGAATTTGCTAACACTAACCCTAGCAAAAGTCATGCTTCGCAGAATCTACCACCGGATCAGAAACAGGACTCACTGAGAAGATCCGGCGAGAAACTCAGTGGGCTGTGTCTGTGGGTTAATTTACTCGTCGAGCCCTTCGTCGCAAACGACGGGTTCGACGAGGACGATGACCGGTGCTTGGAGTACCTAAAGGCACCGTTAGTGGATCGGGAGGATCCGAGATGACGTGTTTGGGGCGACGTCGATTACTTTCCATTTGGTCCGCAGGATCGGCTAGGTAGTTACCGGCGGCCACGATGAGAGGGTTCTCGTGTCGTGCCTCTTTATCGAAATGGTTCACTGAATGAGCTGGCAACAAAATTATAGCCGCTTAACACCAAGTGGGCAGCTACAGCACACAACACTAACGCACCTATGCAGATGCGTGCCAACGCATTTGATCTTGACGTGGTCGCTTCTCGTCAGGTAGTACACGCCGCCATCCCGGACGTCAGTCGGCGGTCCCAATACGTACTCGTTGTCACTGTGGTATATGATGTCTCTGTACGTACAGGTTATGTCCTTGGTAGTCGACAATATGTCCGGAACCACTTTGCACTCTGAAAGCTGAATGTAATCTGTGTAAACGTCTCCTTGACCGAACCTTTTGAAAGTCGTCGTGGCCTAAGGGATAAGACGTCCGGTGCATTCGTGTTGGATTAATGCACCGGTGTTCGAATCTCAGGCGGGTACCAATTTTTCTAATGCAATAAATACTCGACAAATGTTCACGATTGTCTTCCACGGTGAAGGAATAATATCGTGTAATATAAATCAAAACCGCAAAATTATAATTTAAGTATTTACTGGTGGTAGGACCTCTTGTGAATCCGCGCGGGTAGGTAACAACACCCTGCCTATTTCTGCCGTGAAGCAGTAATGCGTTTCGGTTTGAAGGGTGGGGCAGCCGTTGTAACTGTACTTGAGATCTTGGAACTTATATCTCAAGGTGGGTGACGCACTTACGTAGATGTCTATGGGCTCCGGTAACCACTTAACACCAGGTGGGCTGTGAGCTCGTCCAACCATCTAAGCAATAAAAAAAAAACCTTTGGCGGGACGTGAGAAATGACACCATACCCACATTTTTTTCCTACCTTCTTGCTGGACCTGAGGAAAACCTGAAGGAGTTTGGTAGTAGGTACTAGCCTTAGCAAGAGCAGTGCTTGGCAGAATCTACCACCGGATCGGAAACGCGACCCACTGAGAAGATCCGACGAGAAACTCAATGGGCTGTGTCTATGGGTTAGTTCGCTCGTTGATCTCTTGTCGAACCTCGACAAACATTTGCGGGTTCGATTTTTTTAGTACACGATGTTATTTTCCTTCACCGTGTAAGTCATTCGTGAGCATTCGTTAAGTACGTATTTCATTAGAAAAATTATACGAAAATTAGATTATTAGTAAAAAAAAAAACTTACAAAACATTTGACCCAATCTCTGCCCTTGCATACGACCTTGGGCAGGTCCTTGTCGAATTGGGTCACCTCCGCCGCGAATGGATCCAGTTTGGGTATTTCGCATCCAGTACCTTTGTCCTCTTTGAGTGCTTCTTGCAACTTATTTTCTATATATCTGTGGATATTTTACGACTATCGCAAAAACAATGTCCATATATATCTAGATTTTTAACTTGAAATTCAATATTGTCAATAAATCCATATTAAATATCCAATTGAATTTCTATTGCAAAGGTTAAAAACAATTTTTATTATTCTTTTAAAATGAAAAAGAAGAAAACTCAAAAAAGTCAGTTTAATTATCAATTTAATGTCTTAAGTCATGTATTTTTTGCAATTACATATTTCTTTTTTTGGTTTTTAATTTTGTTAATTTTAAAAGGATAATAATAAAAATTCTAAATTTGAAATAAATAAAAAATTGAATTTAATATTATTTACAAGATAGATTTTGATTAAAATTTAATTTGATGCTTATATATATGAATTTAATGTTCATAAAATTTTATTTCATGTTTTTATCATTCAATTTAATATTTATAAAATTGAATTTCAAGTTAAAAACCTAGAACTAGGTCACGGAACAAGGACCAGTCGGTAAAAAATAATGCGAACTGTGTCTCAGAGTTCAAGCACAGTATTGCCATTGTCAACTATTGCACTATAAGGCTGAGACCTAGAACTCAGGTTTCGAGGTGGGCACCAACATTTACGTTGCTGATGTCTATGGGCTACAGTGAAAATGCACCACCTAATCAAATAGACATACCAACAGCGACGCATAAAATTCGACATCATCGGTCATCTGTTCTAATTACTAGTAATTTTTTGTTTATAAAAAAAAATAACTGCAAAATAAATAAATAAATAAAGCCACTTACTGTCTCACAGAGTCTCTGAAAGTATTGAAAGAAAAGAAAATATATAAAAACAGCTACATACAATCGGTACGTGCTCTATTCGATCCAAGCATGCATAAGCTATTATTAAACTATTTATAATATGTGACTACAATTGACATGACTTTTTTAAAGTAATATTAACGATATCAATCCATAGTCTATATACTAATATATAAATCTACAGTGGTTTTACGGATGTTCCCTTATAACTACTGAACCGTGCATCCGATTGACTTGAAACTTGGTATCCATGTAGTAAATACATGTACTTAATGAATAGGCTAATATTTATATGAGTGTTGGACTCCCCACACCAGTTGCGGGGGCGTTAATGATGAGAATCTTTGTGGGGGTGAGAAATAATAATGTTAATTTTAAATGCCCAGCGAAGCGGACGGGTACAGCTAGTACCGTATAAGTTTGAATCGTATAGGACTCGTAAGAACTGAAGCTAATATCTTCGCCGTAGGCATTTCGATTTAATATTTTCATACAAAATTTTACACTCCCATATAGATTCCATGGAACTTCTGTCAAATATTTCTATCAACACCCACTTCAGAGCGCGAAATTCGCATTTGGTAAACCTCTACGTTACGGACATATAAAAATAATATATCATACTATAACCCTATGGTCAGAATGGTCAGGCAGTATCTTATACCTTTAAACGAGCAATTCTTGTGTGTATATATATAATGTAAATCTCGGAAACGGCTCCAAGGATTTTTATATAATTTAGTTTACAGGGGATTTCGGGGGCGATAAATATTGTTTTATTCGTGTTTTCAATAATCAACTTTATCGATAATCAACTTTATGACTATTCCCGACATCTATTGGCGAATAATAATACTATTTTTCATAATTGAGATCAACTAACCGCTTTAAAGACACAATAACACTAAAGCTATTTCAGCAGATGGCGTTGTTAAGCCACCCGAAGCCAATGAGTGTTTGGTTTAAGGTTTTAAGGTCAGACCAAGGAAATGAATTGTTTATTTATATTATTTGTGTCTTTTTAACTCACGTGTTCACTTAAAAATGCCTATACGATCCATTTTATCAATACGTAATTCGAATTTAAATATTATAATTTTTCAAAAACACAATTTTCAAAAAAAAAAAAAAAACATCTGTCATCGTCTAGTGATTTGGTTAAATGTCACGGTGACCTTGATATCTTTGAAGTGGTAGGACGTCTTGAGAGTCCACACGAGTAGGTACCACCACCCTGCCTATTTCTGCCGTGAAGCAGTAATGCGTTTCGGTTTTAAGGGTGGGGCAGCCGTTGTAACTATACTGAGAACTTAGAACTTACATCTCAAGGTGGGTGACGCATGTATGTTGTAGGTGTCTATGGGCTCCAGTAACCACTTAACATCAGGTGGGCTGTAAGCTCGTTCACCCATTAAAGCAATAAAAAAACCTCTACACTGCAATACAGGTAAGCACTTTACAATAGTCTCACACAATATACCATTAATAATTACGTACCTACTTTTTTATGTTATACCTTGTTAATTTTTTTAAATTTCGATTTTTAAACTTATATCTACATTCGCAGCTTTAGAACTATAGACCCATTTCGAAATATTTTCATTTGAACTTTAATTCAAAAACTGATCAAGAACAACCCTTTTCAGTGACCGTTAATAATTAAATGACCAAAAGTTGTTTATAAAGGGACAAAATTATCCATCGATCTCTTTCATTCCGTCCCTTTCCTCTACGTATTTTCAGTTTGAAAACTGTATTCGATGTTTTAAAAAAAAACACACATTTTTTGGGTTGGGTCTCTATATTTCTAAAGGTGCGAATTATATCGTATATCGAGGGATGAAAGACTATTTCATTAAAGCTATTTTCCTATTAATACGCGACATTTATTTTTGTAATTAAATGTGCTTTTTATTTGATATTAGCATCAACAGTTCGATATTTTTAATTGAACTTCAATTAAGTTTACTCCATTCAAATAGCTAAAGAAGCTTTTCTGCTATGATCATTTTTCCAAATTTTAAGCTTTAAATAGCTCTTCTGTAAAAAAAAAATGGTGCGCGTGCAACTTCATGCAAGTGTAAGAAGTGAAACTTCTTTTGTAGTAGTATTGTGGTTATCTTCATTTGTCATCCTTAAATCAAATTTCTCTTGTAATAAGGAATGCTGTGTATAACAGAAACGACCTAGCTCGCTTTATCCTCTCCTCCTCTCCCCCTCTCCGCGGTCGAGTGGTTCGCGAGACGCTCTGTCTATTTTCTCACTCTGGCTCTTCTTAAATTTAATACATTTTGTTGTAATTGATACGGATATAAATTTTTAAAGTTAATAAGATCTGGGAGATTGATTGTTATAATTACTTCAAAGGATTCTGTGTTACTAAATAAAGTGAAGAGAATAATAATAACTAGGAAGAAATCACACACGATAATCCGGTCCTAATTTAAGACTCCATGTGTTATGGGGTACCAGCGGCTAACAAACAAAATCTTATCTTCTTAAATCGTATCGAATCTGTCGCGAGTCAAAATTTACTCTCAACGGGCCTAAAGAAGTTTCACTTCAAAAACTTCGCTTAAACCAAATAGCCTTACACCGCTCGATATATATTATTGGTGTGTTAGTTTAGTGATGGGAAAAATATCGTCCGTTAAAATCAATGTTATTTAAGCATTATAAAAAGCGCTACCAACCTTTTGTCAGGGTTATCAGGCCCCGCAACCGAATTACAGACAGCACTACGATCTGGCATAGGTCTACGCAGAGAAAAAGCGGTAAGCATTAAAGTACTAAGAAAAAAGCGGATACGTGTGACGTGATTAGGAACAGCTTTAAAGTTTAATCTCGACGTAACGTGACGTGGTAAATACTGATGTATTTATGATGTACTAGCGACCCGCCCTCGCGTCGCTTTGGAAACATTAATTAAATTTCACTATTGATAGGCGAAGCCCGCCATGTTGCGCGCGGTACGACAATAGCTGCGGGTGACGCCGCAGGGCGAAGCTAGTCTAAAAAAAGTAGCCTAAGTTACTCCTTATATCATCAGCTACCTATTAGTGAAAGTCTCGTCAAAATCAGTCCAGCCGTTCCAGAGATTAGCCGGAACAAACAGACAGAGAAACAGACCGACAAACAAACAGACAGACAAAAAAATTAAAAAAATATCTTTTGGTATATATACTTACGCATTTATTAAAAACTGGTTATTTTATTATTTACAAACAGACTCTCCAATTTCATTTATTTATATAAACGTAACGAGATTAAACCTTAAAACTGTTAGTCGAAAGGACAAAGTTGCGAAAACAACAGAAACTAAGCAAAACTAAGGCAACTGAAATTAAGCAATTGGTTCATTCAAACGTCTATTACGCGCGAACAATACCAACAAACATGCGCTTTGGTTATGCACGAGCCATGTCTGTCCTGTAACTAAAGGCTTCGTCAAACAGAACGCGTACTTAGCGCGCGTCAGAACGCTAAACCGACGGCGCGCTATGACGAATTCAAATTCAAATTCAAAATCATTTATTTCAACTTAGCTGTCAGTTGTTGAATGTCAAAATATAAAAAACAATGTTAACTCTACCACCGGTTCCAAAAAAAAAGCCACAGTCCTGAGAAGAACCGGCGAAACAAACTCGGCGGACTTTTTTTTTGTTTTTTCTCAAATATTTACTTTTTTTTTTAAATAAGTAAAAATATTTACAATAAACGAAAAAACAAATCAAAACATGCAATTAAAAAAAAAATTAAAAATGAAAAGGCCAGGAGCGAACGCCTCATTTGTGACGCCGAGATGTGTTGTACTACTATGGTAACATACCGTCAAACAGAGTCCCAGCGCTATATGTACGCAACGCTCTGTCGCGGCGTTAGGACGCTTTGACGTCAGGCGTTGTAATTTTTTACAAATTTCATTTTAGCGTCCGAATGTGTATTAAAATACTGAATAATGCCCGAAAATTTTATAGAAATCGTTAGAAAATACCCATGCTTATACAATGCCACATCTGAATCACTCGACATCTTAATACTTTTAAATTATCACACTGCTATCGAAAGGCACTATGATTTTTGGCGAATGCGATGCGTCAAGTAGCGTTGGACTCATCTAGTCAATTTGTGTGACATGAAAAGAGCGCGACGTTAAAACGCAGCGTTAACAACGCGTTCTGTTTGTCGAAGCCTTTATACATTCGTTGCAAGCTGTCAGAATTCATAATTATTTTAGTCTTTCTTAGTCCAAGGCTAGTGTGATCTTTAGAAGTCGATTGTCGCGTCTCATAAAAGCTCTCAGACAACCACGTCGTATATTTTCGCACGGTTAAACAGTTTGCTTAGTGCGAGTTTTTTTAATCGCGTAAAAGTTAACTCTAATTCGTATGGAGTTTGAACAGCGCCCCTAGCGGCAAAAGAAGGGTAGCTAAAAACGAAAGTAAAAAAAAAATGTTTAAAAAAACGTATAGAAAATCCAACTAAAAAATGGAAAATAAATGTTAATAAATTTGAATTAAAAATAGTGTAAGGAAAAATTATTTTATTGTAAAAAAAAACCGTGGGGTGAATGGTATAAGTAGTTATAAATATTTTATGAACAGATATGAGTAGAAGGGTTATTTTGATAATATCCTGAAAAGCACCTCACGCTTTTTTACAATAAAATTATTTTTTCTTACACTATTTTTAATTCAACTATTATTTCTTTTCCATTTTTTAGTTGAATTTCAATTCTTTTTTTATTTTTTAATATTGAATTACATCGGTCCTTAATCAGTATACCAAATTTCGAGTTAATCCGACGTTTTGAAGGGGATCAAAATCATGTTCAAAGATTCCGTTACAAACAAGCTAATAAAAGCGTATTAAAAACTCGCACTAACCACACCGTAACCAAACCAACCCCAAAAAACAAGATTTATCTTGTCTCAAACCAATAACGGAACTTACTGCCTTGTAATATCCAGGTCTGGCTCGCGGGGTATATTCTCGCCCAAGCTTGTGTAATAAAGAAGGCAAAAAACTATTACAATTATCATGATAACTATGTATTTCTTTGAACGATACCATTTCTTCAACATTACGGTCATCTGAAAAAAAAAAGCATACGGTTCTGGAGTGGTGATATTTTTTTCTATCACGATGCATCTGTTTAGTTATTCAGTGAGCCCATGGACTACATACACAACGCGAACATTCCACACGACGTCACCATGTGTCATCACGATATGAAATATGAAAGCGGCTAGTGAACACGTATTCCCCACACGTTTACTCAGAATAGTAAACTAAATACTCTTTCATACATATGAGGCTGTCAGCGCAAAGGTGACCTAACCCACAATTTTTCATATTCATGCTTATATATATTGCAATTTATTTAAAACATAACAAATTTTGATGGAAAACCGCCCTATCCATAGTTTCACCCATACATAGCAGATGGCTTTGTAAAATTATTTTTGCGCGTATTATTATTACTTACTTACTTATTATTACTTATCTCCATACTAACTATGATAAGCTTAGGCCACTTTTGCGCGGACGGCTTTTGAATACACGATACATTTGAATACACGATATTTTCATTCCATGAGCGACGGTAACCACTCACCATCATGTGGGTCGTATGTTCGTCTGCCTACATGGGCAATAAAAATACACGCAAACCACATCTTTGTTTTTTAGTCCCATTCATTTTTCTTTTTCTTTTTTTCTTCTTTTTTCTCCTACCTATATCCTTGAGAGGCTATTTCAGCTTCTCCTTGTCGTGTAGGTGAGCTCACGGGGCTCACCGGGAGCATTGCTAATACTGTCCCTAGCAAGAGCCGTGCTTCGCAGAATCTACTTTCGGATCGGAAACGCGACCCACTGAGAAGATCCGGCGAGAAACTCAGTGGGCTGTGTCTGTGGGTTAATTTACTCGTCAAGCCCTTCGTTGCAAGCGACGGGTTCGGCGAAAACGGTGACCGGGTCTCATTCATACTGGTCGAAAGTTAAAACGAAGCTAAGCACATTGTATTGTTATACTCCTAATATTAATGTATTGTAAATCTTGAAGAAGAAGAACACCCAATAGACTCAAACAACAGAATTTCTTACTGGACTCTCTCAGGGCAGGTGTTAGCACGCTCTCTCAGGTTAAACGCTGTGAACTCAACCACCAGACATAGACTATATCCTGACATAGCTGGAGTAGACCCTTAGGCCACCATCAAAACGGCAGGAAAAAAATATACAAACAAAGCATACCAAGCTAAATAAAGTGTGTTAATTATTAGTACTCCCAGAGGGTATGACTCCTAGCACAGTCGTGTCACTAGTATGAGTATACAGAATGCCTAACCATTTCATGACCAAATTGTAATAATCAATCCACTGAGTAAAGCAATCATAACCTCATATCATGGTCCTAAATCTTAATATGTACAAAGTATACAGTGGTTTTCACACTGGAAAGTCTATGAGCTACAGTCACCCCTTAAGAACAAGTCGACAATAGGCCCATTTATCTAACTTAGTTGTAAAGTAAAGAAAAAACAAAAAAATTAAATTGAAAAAAAATAAAAATTACCTTTTTTAAACTACAATTTCAATTTAACTGCTGGCATCAAATCGAAAATAAGTTATGCAGCCATTTACATGAAGCAACAATTATTGGGAAAGAGACCCTTCACAGTATCCTACAACCAAAAGAATTCAATAAACCGACTGCTATTATAAAAGTTGTGTAAAATAACAAAACAGACAATAAAAAACCAAAAAAAAATAAGAAACATTACATACAAATTTAACTACTTTGATGGGTATTTATAAGTGGTGGGGACATCTTGTAAGCCCGCACTGTTAGATATACCTATTTCTGTCACGAAGCAGTAATACCTTCAAGTTTGGCAGGGTGGGGTGTCATTTTACTGTAAAACTAAGACTTAGAACCTCAAGATGGGTTGCAACATCTAAGTTCTTAGTGTCTAGGGGTCAGGTAACCATGACCACCCCAAAAACGGCATCCATGGTAAAAAAGTTATAAAACTAGTGAATAAGGCATGGGTCATCTCAAAGTATTTAAGCTCTTGATGTCAATTAGCTCCAGTAAACTTTAATACCAGGTGGGTGGTGAGGTTATTAATTTATCTGAGTCAGTTTCGACAACCGCAATAACAATAAAAATTATATTTGATTAAAAGATATATTACACCATTCATTTAATTTTTTTTAATATTAAAACTAAAGTGTTGTGTAAGGTTTTAAGTTGGCCCAATTATATTATACATCTATGACACGAATTTATCAAGACTACATTGAGATAACCAAATATAATTGTCATTTAATTTACTATATAATGATACAAAGTCTGGTTTCCTGGAAGTAAATATGATGATAATAAGAATGATGATGATAAGATAATACGATGTCATCCCAGGCCCAGTGCACAAAACATTTGAGACACAAAGATATTTGAATTCATGCCGTCATGCAAGCATTCCTGAGAATACCCTATTAAGTCCTTATTAAATTCGAACAACACTAGAAGTCACCTGACCAGTTGATCGGAAAACATAGACGTGTTTGAGCAAAAAAGGGATTTTTCTTGCAAGACTTTAAAATGCTTTGAAGATAAACCAGCTCACAATTTCAATCTTCTGCTGTTTTATAAGTGTCAGAAAGATGCATGAAGAGAGATTTTTAAATTTACATCTGACATTATTATCGAAGCGAATGCTGATTTTTTATAGGAATCAATTCAAACTTACTTATCTTATATAGTTTATAAATAAATATGGAAAAAAATACCTAGACAACTACTACAGAACAACTTTTATTTTTAAAAACTTACTATTTTAAACTGACAGCCAAATCAACAAAGAACACAACACTACATGAAAAAGAATGCCACAGCCAAGATACTAAAAATTAGATCGAAGTCTTTAGTATATTTTAATACAGATTGACACTAGGATCGGCAGGTGGCAATTTTAGTATATTTATTTTACGTAATAGCTGCTTTCCTATTCTTTTTGGTAGCTTTGTGTTAAGAAAAAGTGAATAAATGCAACTTAAGCCGTGAAGGTGCTCTTAATTAGATCCGCCGATGTATTTAACGTTTTATCTTTTAATGTTATGATGCTAATTTTCAATAGGTTTGTTGTTTCGCATGTTTAAGCCGAACTGGGTCAAGATCAGCCTTGGATTTGAATGTCAACATCTAAATGGTTTTTTTTTTATCACTTAATCCAGGTAAATTATGGGTAAATACAATATAAGTTTAATAATAATGTAACAGTGTTCCTATCTGATTGTTATTAGGACTTTGGAATAGTTATGCGCACTCACCAATTCTTTCCTGTAATTCTGATTGCTATTTATTTATTTTGTGTACCTTTATGTTTAATGTGTGTATATATATTTGTTGTATTTTTATTAATTTTCCGCTTGTCGTCTACGACGTCTACCCACTTTTACTTTTTGTTTTTTAGGGCTTTTATGACCTGGTAACTAAGACCTTTAGGTCAAGTTTTATTTTAATTTTAATGTAAACTTTTTTTAAGAAAAATAATATTAAGAAATGAAATGAAGTTGATTAATATTAAACATGGCCTGAAATGAAATGAAGTGAAATAAAATCAGATGATATATGATGAAATATAATCTCAGTAAAACGGTGGTCATTTACTGAGACTTTTTTGAGGATCCCGAGAAGTTACGTCCAGCGGCTTTGTTTCATCTTCCCACATTTGTGCACTTTCAAAGATATTGAATAGTTAATAAACCACTGTTATTACACATTAAAACCTGAAAAAACACTATAAAGACAAAATAAAACAAATCACACAACTTCACGTCTCGCGTTCCCGCTAAAAAGTCCACTTTTTGTCTCTGTAGGCACCACAGATTAGTATAATAGTTACTACTCTGTACCATAGACTTATAAATGAACCATCCTCTGAATAATCAAAGAAAATGTGGCGCATACGGTCGAATATTTTGTAACAAAAGACAAATGAAAAATGTAATGGAACGGAACGAAATAACATTTCATTTTGCTTAGCTTATAATTAAATTAAAAATAAGACAAAACCGTAGGTATATTCGATGAGATGATGATTGATACGGTCAGCCGACTTTTTTTTCTTTCAAAATACTAGGTTAATTTTATTATAATTTGACAAATTTTCAAGTGGAAGGAAATGGCTGAAAAAACTTTTTTTTTCTCCATGCGTGGGAGGCTGCCACTGCCCGCCCCACTCACGGAGTCGCAACTGACTGTATAGGTCCCTAATGCTAATGCATTTTACGAAGTTTCTCCAGAGAAGAAATAATTGACCGAAATTGTACCTGGCTCCTGGACCACTTGAACTTATGCACTTTCATTTCACGGATATTTAACGGTTAATGAGCTATTATTAATGACACATTTAAAAATAGCAATCATTAAATTCACATAGATAAACATTTAACTAAAAATCACTTTATAACTGTTAGCGCCAAAAAGCTAAATACAAATCAAATTGCATTGGAATTATAATTACAGATAAATATAACAGTATATGATTTCTTTATTTATTTTTAACCTTGTACAGCTTGAAATTCTCTTCTTACACAAATAAAACCTTTACCACCCAGTAAACAAAGTATAAATAGGATACATTTGAAAAAAGTAAAATTAGGAAAAAAGAAATTAAGTCTGTTTTTCTAATAAAATACGTAAGTACATAACAAAGGTTCAGGTTGACTTCCACAGTGAAAGAATAAGATCGTGTCATAAAAAATCAAACCCGCAAAATTATAATTTGCGTGATTACTCTCGTATAAGCTGCTCTGATATGGTCTCTCTAGACCATCAGCTTAGGTAGGAGTAAAAAAGGTGCAACTGTGACCCCCTAACCATTAACCATTTTTGCCTATTTACTTGTAGCCTCAAGGAGCTGTTCTAGCTTAACCTTGAATGGTTGGCTAGCTCAAACGGCTCAGCTTGAAACAATTTATCGTCATCTGCCCTAGCAAGGACAGTGCTTCGCTAAATCTACCACCAAATCGAAATCGCGACGCACTGAGAAAATACGACGAAAAACTCAGTGGTCAAATCAACTAAATATATTATTCTGCTTTACATCTATATGTGGTGCATCGAAACTGTAACCTTACGTAAGCAAAATTTTCATATATATATATATAGAGCCAAAAAAAATATCTATGGGTCTAACCGTATTCTTCCTGACATAACAGGACTATCAATTTAACTAATGCCATAAATTTAGATTAATTTTGCAAATCATCCCAACTAGCTAAAACTATTCCACTCATAAAGTTTAAACTAAAACTTGATAAAAATTCACCTATGACATTAAAATTGTAAATACAAGTACATCATTGATCGTACTATAATAATATAGCCCCACTGCCCTACAAGATCTGTTATAGGATGAGTTCACATTGAAACATATTTATGTTTATTGATAAATTTATGTTGTGGGACATTCATATATGTATATACATATGTAAGTATATAAATTTCTTGATTACTTAGGTGTGTGGACGATGAGCTCACGTCCCACCTGGTGTTAAATGGTTACCGGAGCCCGTAGACATTAACAACGTAAATCCCGGCAACCACCTTTAGACATGAGTTCCAAGGTCTCAGTTTTTACAGTACAATGGCTGTAGCAGCCTTCAACTCGAAACGCATTACTGCTTCACGGCAGATATAGGCAGGCTGGTGGTACCTACCTGTGCGGACTCACAAGACTTCCTACTACCAGTTAGATGTGGGACGCTTCATTCAATAATTGTTTGAAGTATCCCCATACATCCTTTTAATCACAACAAAACAATCAAGCTTTATTTGTGAATGTTTCGACATACGCTTACTTGGAGAATCTCTTTAAGGATGTCGGTTTTGACTCGGAAAGATCTGCTCGGTAAGAGAGGAATACTAGTGAATGATGACTGTATGTCATCGTTCTCATCGAAACCCATAGACACAGCCCGCTGATTTTCTCGCCGGATCTTCTTAGTGGTTCGCGTTTCCGACCCGGTGGTAGATTGTGCGAAGCACTGCTCTTGCTGGGACCAGTGTTAGCAACACTCGGATTTAAGCCCCGTGAGCTCACCTACACGTCACGGAGAAGCTAAAATAGCCTCTCAAGCCTATCAGCATAGGTAGGAAGAAAAAACATGAGACGGAACATTAGTATCTGTTTATAAAATTATACGTGTTAGTTTTCGTGTATTTAAATTTTGTGCGGCAAGTCGGTCAGTGGGAACCGGCCTTATATTTGATTTTACTATTGACGAACTAGTCATCGGCCAGTGCGATACAAACTTTCATTGTAGTCGCTTGTGTTGCGTAATCGAGAACAAATCGATTTCTATTCTGGTAAGTAAGGTTTGTTTTGTATTAAGCAATCGATATTTTAAAAGAGGACATCGCTATAGCCATATTTATGTCTATAGGAAACGTGCGTGATGGAATACTATCGAGAAAGTTCTTCGTAGAGACAATTTTTTTGTTTTTATTTTTTTGAGAACGACTTTTTCTATGTTTTCTTGAACAAAGAATGTCTTGATAATTAATATTAGCGCACGATAATACAAAAATGTATTTAATGTTGATAATGTTAAAAATATATTGTGTTTTTTTTTTCTTTTCTTCTGACGCGTTGTGAACGCGCGTAATTACGATCCCATATTTGCGCGTATTTTTCATCGGTACCACCCTCTTTTATTGTGCCTACTATGGAACAACTAAGCATTTCGTTCTATACAATCGGGTAACGATTCACGGGAGTAAATGTCAACGAGCTATGCCGGCTCTACACGTTGGCCCTAACATAGGCCCCAACGCCACTCGCCCAACGTGTGGATCTAGAAAATGCATTGACCCCAACGTTGGAGCGATCGTTAGTAGTTGGCCGTCGAGTATCGGTTTTATTAAAGGAATATGTGCCACCGTTCGCGATCCGTGCACATGTGAGCGCTTTGCTCAGTCCTTTTCAATAACAATTATAAATTATACGCACTAGGTATTAAAAAAACGCTTAGAGCAATTTCAATTTCGGTATCGTACATCTTCACGTTGGCTCTGACGGAAAAGAACTAGTTTATCAGTCAACGTGTGGACACCTCACCAATTTAACCGCTCAACGTTGGGGCCAACGTGTGGAGCCGATGCTAAAGTATAGAGTTGAACGTAAGCTCTATAGCTACAAAGTTATTATAATCTAATTAAGGATATACGTTTTAATTTATTTCTTTAAGCTATGATTCCCAGTTAGACCATTTATTTTTTATGCTTCCACTAACAGACATCATTACAATTTTCAAAACACAACTTTTTTACAAATTGCAGGTACCCAATGCAAAAATGAAGTTATTCATATTTTTATTGATTGCAACATTGACGACAGCTGACGAGTACTGCAAAGGGATATACATCGATCAAAATTATTACAACGTCGAAATAATCAAAGAAGGACTTACCAGAATATATCAGATAGTATTTAACGATAACGAAAACACGTTATACTTCACATTCGATCAATTAGCATATGTCCCGACGAGGCAGTTAGGTTATATTAACATAGCAACAAAAAAAACTGGCATTATCGATAGTATCCGAAACGCTACGGGTTTGGCATATGACAGATCGAAAAATCGCATTTACGTCGGCGGCTCTGACGGTTTGTTTTTCATTAGTGACGCGAACAAAGTACCAGAAAGATTACCTGTTGTTGAAAATATTAGGTATCTGTTCTTTAAAGATGTTTTGTATATGATTAACAATAACAGGAAGGCGCTTAAGTTTGATAATGGCGTGACTGTTCCGGTTATGGAGTTACAAAATGTACAAGTTGACGCTCTGATGCTCGACGATGGTAATAATATACTGTTTTTGGATAATGAAACGCTATTTCGCGTTCAATTGGGCACTACAGTTATTAATATACACGAAGGTTATTCCGTTACTAGCATAGCCACAGATATACATTATAAACCTTACGTTTGCACGAAAAATGGTCTGTACGCCTATAACAAATACAAGTTTGCTTTGGATAAAAAATCTGATAAACTAGCCAATTTAAGAGCTTTGACTTTTAATAATAGAAATGAACCTATTTATATCGCTGTTGGTCATATTGTGAAGTTGATTTACAATCCAGTACCCTGTTTTGGTGATTAAGGTTTAGTTTTTGTAGATTTGTTTTTGTTAAAAACAGAAAACTGTTTTTTAAATAAATAACTCAAAATGACGTCGTTTTTAGTATTGTTTTATTCTTTCCATCCATTCATTTCGTCTATGGTTTTTAAATGAAAGCATAACCATTATTTACCTATTATTGTTATTGCATTACATTCTGTCTATCTTACCTTAACATAGTTTATAAATGATGGTCTTATTAACTTTACGTTCAATACTTGAGCAGAGTAGTTTCCTACATTTTTAAATTGTGTATTATTAGTTTGAGAACAGCATTGACCTCCGGAAAAATAAATTAGGTCTCTCATAATCCACGTCTATCGACAATGACATTAAAACTTACTTATAGGTGCATAGCTAAAACGATGGAGGGTAGAGGTAAGGAGAAGCGTTTCTGTGTGTAAAAAAGTGTCCATTAAAATCTGCTAAATAAGGGTGGCGCTACAGTAGCAAACGGGTAAATTTTAAAAAAATTAAGAAATAAAAAAGGATGAAAGAACTTCCGTTTGGCGAGCCATAAAAAAAAAGAAAAAAACTTCCGTCTCGTTATGGCGCCCTTTTCAAAATAAGAATAAAATGAAAACCGAACTTTTATAATTAAGTGTGTGCTTATCATTTCGATTGATCAATATAACGTTTAGGAAGTAATACATAAAAAAATATAGAATTTTCTCGTTTTTTTCCTCGTAGGTCTGTAGTAAGTGTATAAACAAAGAAAAAATAAAAAAATCTCTGTTTTGTCAAATGAAATATCGCCGCCATTAAATTAAATGTCATTTTAATTTCATTTGGTTCATACCAAATGTCCGAAGTTCATAAATATGGTTACTAAAATGTTTGCAAAATGGAGTGCAGCTTCATTGGGGCGGAAAGTAAGTACTTATTACAATAAAAAATATTATCTTAACTCATCGACGATGTTATGATATTAAAAGTTATAATTAAAACAATTGTATAAAAACGAAATAAAACATGTAAGTTCGTCAAAAAAATTTCAACTTGCTATGTTCAAAATTATGAAATTTTTAACGCATCGGAATTCATTAAAATTAATTAAAAAATTACTGTAATTAATTTATGTACAATGTTGACTATTAGTCTCAGAACACTATTACTTCTGCTATTAGTGGATAAAGGTTGCCATTTTGAATTTTGTGTTAGCGTTAAACAGTGGCTTGGCTTATGGGCTTGGCGGTCCATTTTGTATTGTTGATGCCCATGAGTGACTACACTACGATCACAGAACAAAGGCTCGTTGGTCTGCAAATGCAACCAAAAACGGACAAATTCTATTTAATAATACCTAATAAATTTGAAAATTTTTGGCGATGTTCTGACCAACGAAACGCGATATCTTGTTGAAATCGATTTTCTAGTTTAAAGTTACTATGATATCCAAAACATTTTCAAGGTGATCATTAAATAATAATTAAAAAAAGCTACATATAATTTCAAAGATCAATCTAGAACACGTAATCTACATACAACAGAAATCGTAATCCATGTAGCGTCATAAATTCTTGTGCCTCTATTTTTTCTAATGTTTTTATTTAAACGCATCATCGTGTAAGTACCTATGTATAAACTCTGTGCTGAGTGATTCATCAAAACACGCCTAGGTACCTTAAATATTTACAATCTTACAATGAAATATCTTTGCAATACGATATCATTACTATATTATTACGTAACAGGTAACCGAAACGCCACGAAAAGATGGCGTATAATTTTTGTTTTAATACCAGGAAAATAATAATGCGTTTTGGTTTGAAGGTGTCTAAAGCTGTTGTACTAAAGAACTCAGATCTCAAAGTGGGTGGCGCTGTTTACATTGCCGATGCAAACATGGGTACATTCACCAAAGTAACCACTAAAAGCTAAAGATTTGAAGTTTTTTTTATTTATTGCTTAGAGCTCACAGCCCACCTGGTGTTAAGTGGTTACTGGAGCCCATAGACATCGATAAAGTAAATGTGCCACCCACCTTGAGATAAAAACTCTAAGGTTTCAGTGTACTTACAACGGCTACCCCACCATTCAGACCGAAACGCATTACTGCTTCACGGCAAAAATAGACGGGATGTTGGTACATACCCGTGAGGACTCACAAGACGTCCTACCAGAATCCGCATCGACGGGACTCTTCATTAATCAAATTAATTATTTCAGACTTCAGTGTTCTGGAAACGTTTATTAAGGAGCCAAAAACATTGTTTTTTTGCACTCCTGGCCATGTTTACGGTCACCAGCGTCGTTTATTTGTTCACCGGTTACAGGGAGCCTCTGAAACCTTTTCCTTTCAACGAGAAAACGTAAGTTGTGTCAGTAGAGACTATTAGCTCGATGGAATTGTCGCGGCCTAAAGGGTAAGACGTCAGGTGTTTGTTGAGTGACCAGCGTTCAAATCCTGCGAGAGCACGTTTTTTTTGAAGATTTTTTTAACGCGCGTTTTTGAGTGACTTCTTTAATTTAATGTATCTAATTCCAGACCCAGACGACCAGGCAACACTCGCCCGTCATCCTAAACACGTCATTTCGGATCCTCCCGATATAGTTTTGGTCCTTTTAGGGATATCAAGCATCGGTTACCGTTCTCGTCGAACTCTTGGAATGCGACGAAGGGTTTGACGTGGAACATAACCCACACTCAGTATTCCGATTCGGTGGTAGATTCAGCGAAGCACTGCTCTTGTTAGGGCCAGCGTTGGCTAAGTCTCTCAGGTTGAGTTCCGTGACCTCTCCTACCCTAAATACTAGAAACGTTTTTTTATTGTCACTATATTATTTCCAACGGTCTTTTGCCGCGCCAAAACAAGCTTTATTCGTCGACATTTAAAATTAAATATCGTGCTAACTATAGTTTATTTTTCTATAAAAAATATATATCTTGTCTTTTACGTTTCATCTCACACAGAACGAACTAACAGTATCTTGAGGTTCTGGTAATAAATAACCTGCGTCTGCCTACTAGGGGAATAAAAAATAAAAAAAGATCCTGATTTTTTTATAGAAATATAGACTGTAGTTAGGACAAAATTTAAATGTCGACGAATAAAGACGAGCATAAAATATAATGACGAGCATACGGCCCACCTGATGGTGACTGGTTACCGTCGCCCATGGACTTCAGCAATGCCAGGGGCGGAGCCAAACCGCTGCCTTCTTAATCTTGATGTTCTTGAAATAAATTATATATCGACTCGAACACGTTGCTTCTAAGGACTTGTTAAATTACTTGAAAATCTATAGGAATCAAATACGTATGAATGAAGAATTTCTGCAAAGGGATAAAGGCACGGGTTGCGATATGCCCCAATTGGATCCCTTCTCCGATGTGGCCATGAGATACGTTAAGGAGACACCGAAGATTGTCTGCGATGGATTAGATTGGGTCGATTGTTATGTTAGTAAAATATGTGTACACTTTTACGGGATTACGGACGCCTTATGGGAGTCTATATGTCACTGAGTAAATGTCCCCTCCAATCTTGAGGCATGAGGTCTGAGGCCTAATTATATAAAGGCTATGCCATCCTTCAGAAGGGATCGCAGTGTAGTATACATGGAGGCCAACCAATACCATCATTAAATATGAATTATAAGTGTGTCATTATGTGGTATAACATAACAAAATTATTTAGGACACGAGTCCAAATGTTGCGGCTTGTTATAAGTCCTGCGTGTTTTAATTTACTCGTAAATTAGGTACTTTAAAAAAATTTAATACTCTAAGGTTTTTTTTTCAAGCCAATCTCAATCACTCACAACAACAGATGTCATACATGAGTAATCTATTGTTAATAAATTAACTCTACGTTGGACTTGACGGCTTTGCGTTTATTAGATTTCCCTTGACTAATATTCACAAAGCATGCGTCTTTTCAATAGCTCACAGAGAAATTACCGTTTTTTAAACTAATGGGAATTCAAGTGGACGTCGAGCTTGTATTCTAAGCGGCTACCAGCAGAGCTTATAGACATGGCGTAAGTGCCGCCACAGTCTTTAAGACATGAATAGGTACGTGAGTCCGCGCGGGTAGGTACCACTACCCTGCCTATTTCTGCCGTGAAGCAGTAATGCGTTTCGGTTTGAAGGGCAGCCGTTGTAACTATACTGAGACCTTAGAACTTATATCTCAAGGTGGGTGGCGCATTTACGTTATAAATGTCTATGGGCTCCGGTAACCACTTGACATCAGGTGGGCCGTGAGCGCGTCCACCCATCGAAGTTCTATAACCGCCCCACCCTTCAAAGTTGCAACGCGTGACAGTCTCGCGACAAACAATGAAAAGAACATGAGTCGCAAACCCCCTATATTATTTTTCAGCATTCAAAATGCTACGTCATCAAGGAGATTTTGAGCAAAATGAAGGATGTGGTGTGTAATTACAAGGACATCGTCCATGTGAACGATCAGCATTATTATATCGGCGATCCGGTTAAGGTTTACGGCAATGGATCATATCGGTTGAACAGTAGCGACCATGTGAAGGTTTCGTGTAAGGGCGTCGATAAGAATGGGTAATCAAGTTTGTCTCGGCTTAAAATGTCAACAACGTTCAGGTCAAGTGGTGGCTTTGAAACGATAAGAGTGCTCATCTCAAGGTTTGGTGTGAGGACGATTGATAATTGTGAGAAAACGCGTTTCATTTCTGTCTCGGCTTACTCAAACAGTTTCTGGTAAGAGCAAGTTGAAGACATACATCTGCAGCAGGGTTTTGATTTGTAGCTATTTTTGTTTTGATTTATGTTTGGCAAATTGTTCATTGAACACGGTGGCTTGGTTTTTATAGCACTGGATCAGTGGACCAGCTTTCGATCCACTGGGCGTTGAGCAGTTGTTGGAGCTGGAGCTATGGTTTTTTTTATTGCTCTTGTAGGCAGATGAGCATACGGCCGACCTGATGGTGAGTGGTTACTGTCGCCCATGGATGTCACCAATACCAGGGGCAGAGCTGAGTCGCTGCCTACCGTATAATGACCGTACTGATATTACGAATGTCAGTTTATTGCGTAACAACTGTCAATTCAAACCAGCTACTTCCGACAGAAATGGATATGATGAAGGTACCACAACCATGCGATCTTACAATGCCACCAGTGATTACATAATCCTTCATTGTGGATCGTAATGGGCCTTTGGATGGATTTAACTGGTGGTAGGACCTCTTGTGAGTCCGCACGGGTAGGTACCACCGCCCTGCCTATTTCTGCCGTGAAGCAGTAATGCGTTTCGGTTTGAAGGGTGGGGCAGCCGTTGTAACTTTGAGACCTTAGAACATATCTCAAGGTGGGTTGCTCATTTACGCTGTAGATGACTACGGGCTCTAGTAACCACTTAACACCAAGTGGACTGTGAGATCGTCCACCCACCTTAAGCAATAAAAAAAAATCGTTCAATCCTTGCTCTCAAAAATATTTTATGTTGATACTTCATTCGTACCAGATTAGGTATAATATCGCAAAGATGGTTCGGCTATAAGTCCGGTCTGCGTCCAGTACCTAAGCCCCTCGTGAGTCAAGCCGGTCGCGAAAACACCTCCGATATACTGATACTGGGCTTCGATTCGACATCTCGCAACGGTTTCATCAGAAAGATGCCCAAATCATACAAATTCCTTAAGGACGTACTTAATGCTACTATTATGAAAAGGTGAGCTTTTGTTTTACACGATTTTACTAGCTTCTCCTATAGAACGTAATCGTTGATACGTGATATTCACCTACTACAAAATTGGTATATGGCACATATTTTAACACAGGGCAATAATTTAATAAGTCTGTCGCATTATGTTGTTGGGTATCTTCAATATAGGGATTTTTGTAACCAGTTGTTAGTCAAATCAGAACAATGGTAATGTTGCTTGTGTTTATGATAATTATTATGCGAAATAGAATAAAATAATTTCAAGGTATGAGGAAGAGTGCAAATATTATAAATCTCTTTTTTTCTAATTTGGCACTTACCAGGTTTGGCCTCAGCTTTTGACGGTTCTAGCTTTAGGTTTTGATTAGCAGTAAAGTTTGCCGTAGCGAATCTGCTTCTGAGGAAACAAAAAATATTGATTACATTCAAATTATTATTTTGCCCCTGATTTTCTTAGATTTAATGCTATAGACAATAAACACCATAGCCACACCGGTGTTAAGCGCTTACCTGAGCCCATGGATATCACACGACGCACCACCTGTCTTGTGTAAAAACAGTCTTATCCTTCAAAAGCGGAGTGGATGGCACCTTCGCGGCATAATAGGGTATTGTGGGTAAATTGTATCCAATAGTTACGTATTCATTATCAGAGATTGCCAAAACGCTTAAATAATGGACTTGTTCTTGGGATATCAAGTTATTTGAGAGGTAATGTTATTTTTCTACGCTCTACTTAGTGTTTGCTTTAGTAGTCGCGAGTCCTACACTCTACTTTTCGGATTAATCTGGCTTTTTTTTAATTATCATTACATTATTTCCGACGACTTCAATACTGCACAGTTTTCGCGGTCATGGACGACTAAGGCCTTATTCGTCGATACTAAGCACACTGATAACTACCGTCTTATTTATACTAATATATAAATCTATAATCTATACTAATATATAAATCTACAGTGGTTTTTACGGATGTTCCGTTATATCTACCGAACCATGCATCCGATTGACTTGAAACTTGGTATTCATGTAGGAAATACATCATCATAATTATCCTGCCCTTCTCCCAGTCACCTGGGGTCGGCGCAACATGTTTTCTCCTTCCATACTCTTCTATCATATACCATTTCTTCGCTCACTCCCCTCCTACCCATATCGTCTTTCACACAATCCATCCATTTCTTTTTTTCTGTAGGAAATACATGTTAGGCTAATATTTATATGAGTGTTGGACTCCCTAATAATAATGACCACAAATAATATTGTTAATTTTAAATGCCCAGCCAAGCGGGCGATTACGGCTAGTTTTCTATAATATTGACTGCTTAGTTGCTTTTCGAATAGAAACCTTAAAGTACTGGAATCGGTGGAAATATTGGAATAACAGAAGCTAAATTAAACTATACAGGTAGCTTTAATTATAGTTGCTTTTGTACTTAGCGCTTCGGTCATTGGCATTTCAGTTATAACATAGTGGGCGAAGGAACTTCGAATGCTCTGTATCCGATACTAACCGGCCTAGAGCTACCTGACTGGGAGAGTTTTCCCAAAGACAAAACCATGGACCATAAGACGTTCTTGTTCCACCACTTGAAGAACGACGGGTGAGGATGAATTGATGATGATTTGGCGTTATTTAGCTAGTTCTGGGTAGCGGGGTGTGGTCTTCAAGTTGTTGGCTTTTTTGGTAAATTCAATAAGGGCCCATATTCGACATTACTCTCTTCATTATGGCTCTGCTAAGGAACCTTTGTAGTGTAACGGGTAGCCATCATAAAACACAAGATATTTGAGAGATGCCTGAATCTTGTTAATGACCGTTTTAAGATAAGCTTACATACGGTTGCTCAATAATATCGCCCGTCCCGTGGAAGATCTTTCCTTTGTCGTTCGTACCTTCCAAAGTATGGTAAAAATTATTATTAATTTACAATAACAACACCAAAAATTACAAAAATATTCTGAGTTTTTTATTTATTTATTGCTTAGATGGGTGGACGAGCTCACAGCCCACCTGGTGTTAAGTGGTTACTGGAGCCCATAGACATCTACAACGTAAATGCGCCACCCACCTTGAGATATAAGTTCTAAGGTCTCAAGTATAGTTACATTAGATTAATGGTCAGCTTGTAGTCACGTCAGATTTCGCACAGCATTGTTCAACGTTAGGTACGCGTTAGGCGGGGGTTTGGCTGTACACACCCGATACTGTTGATGTCCATAAGCGACAATAACCACTATCCGTTAGAAAAAACGTATGCTCGTCAACCTTCAACCTTAGTTCAATAGTAAAACACGCCTTGCGGCGCCAGATATATTGATGACTTTATTGTATCGCCCACAGCTATAGAACAGCATACTTCGAAGACATGCCCTGGATAGGTACCTTCCAGAGGTTTTACCACGGCTTCGACAGCTGCCCCGCGGATCACTACCTCAGGTCGTTCCTGATGGAAGAGAGCTCTAAGGGCAGGAAGTGGTGGCACGGCGTCAAGGGCCGATATTGCATAGGCAACGTGCCCCAATACGGACTCTTGATGAACCTGACCAAACAGGTCTTTTGGTTAAATTTTTCGCTTACGCTCCGATAACGCTTACTGACGTCATTTGACTGGAACATTGCAATGATCAAATTTTGGTTTTGGAAGACATTTTCTCTCTCTCTCTCTCTCTGATTTACTTTTCTATGTTCTATCAAGTTCTAAGTTTACATTAAGCTTATTAGTATCGGTCAGATTGAGCATTTTCAAACTTTTGCTCGTAATTGAGAGGTTTAATCGTTGTAACATCGCGTTATCAAACTCTTTAATTTGATGGTTTTGCTTTTTTCATTAAAAAGCCAATTGCACTGAATAATGGATGAAGTTGATCACCGGCCGATTTGTTGGAGTGTGATAGGAATAGCTAATGTACTATCGGTCGTTAGGTATAATTTTAATATACTTACGTTATATATATATCGAGGGGTGGAAGGCTTATTTGGTTTTAGCGACATTAAAGGTGCATTTTAATTGGTATAAGCATCAACAGTTCGATGCTTTTAATTGAACTTTAATTAAGTTTACTCCATTCATATAGCTGAAGAAGTTATTTTGTTATGATATTTTTTTCCAAATTCTCAAATTCAAAAGCTCTCTTGTAAAGTTGCAAAAATTTCGCTTAAACCAAATAGACTTTCACGTTTGGATATGTTACTGAACGATTTGTGAAGCCTCCCATAAAGAATAGACACTTAATAATTTTGCAACTTTTTTAAAATTCAATTAGATAAATTGCGTGAACTGAGTCAAGTTACATTTGTTTTATTAATCGACATTTGAAAAATAAAGGTTTAGAGTTTAGTTGGAATTGTTTCGGTAAATTGGACTAGAATTAATTGAAATTGATATAATTGTTGTATTCCAGTTTCTAGATTTAGACGGAAAACATTTCTGCCTTACCTTCATAGCTGATATAAGCCACGATGATTTCAATGTAATATCGACGTCCGATGATGATCTGGTGGCATTCCTCCAAGACTTTTTGGATAAGGGGAGACAGAAGAATACCCTTTTGATAGTCATGGGGGACCACGGTGCCAAGTTTGTAGCATTTACATAAATAGTTTTGTCTTGTTCAGACGAAGGTTGATAGGCTCCATTTTGAAGTCTAAAGGTCATATTTTCTGTGCCATCTAAGAGTTAAAGTTACGACCCAGTAGTCTGTAGATAAGTTGACTCTCCGTTTGGCCATGGTCTGTCTTTAATGTTTTCGATGAGATAACATTTTTTTTACCTATCTACCATCGGATGCAATAAAACGAATTGTAGTAAGTAATAGTCTGTCTTATTGCTTATTAAGTCCTGGGGTGGGTGTTCTTAACTCTCCCAGGAGCTTGCTCGGTATAAAAAAAAAGACGTAAAATCATCAGGTTGGTATCAATTGTGGTAAATCTGTAAAAGACCCAAAAGTCCTGCCCAATTGCTTTCAAGCCTCATTAGAAGCACGTAGCATCGCTAAAGTAAAGCAATTAGGACATGACCGAAATCGCGGACTATACGTTTTTGAAGTGCCACAACACGTCATTTCGGATCTTCCCGATTCACTAGCTCAAGCACCGATCATCGTTCTCGTCGAACCTGTCGCTTGCGACGAAGGGCTCGACGAGTAAATTAACCCACAGACACAGCCCACTGAGTTTCTCGCCCGATCTTCTCAGTGGGTCGCGTTTTCGATCCGGTGATAGATTCTGCGAAGAGCGGCTCTTGCTAGGGTTCGTGTTAGCAACGTCGTCAGGTTTGAGCCCCGTGAGCTCACTTACTAGTTAAGATTACGCTGAAATACCCTCTCAAGGCTATCAGCTTAGTTAGGACAAAAAAAAAGAAGAAGAGCCAAATCCTTGAACCACCCTTTCAGATACGAATCGATACGTAGGACCTATCAAGGCAGACTAGAAGAACGCCTGCCCTTGATGACGATAAAACTGCCCGAGACCTTAATTAAATCCAGGCCAAATGCACAGCGTGTTTTGGAAGCTAACGCGGAAGTGCTCACAACGCCCTACGACTTGCACACGACGCTGCTAGATGTGGTCGGTCTGAGGGAACTGGCCAACTCCTATAAAGTTGAAGGATCGAAATTGGAGAGAGGACTCAGCATGCTGGAGCCTGTAAGTGGTTCTGAATCGACCTCAAAGGACGATCAAGTGTCTATGTAAAGATAATGTTGCGAATGAACCGATGTCCCAATGTCAAGTTTTAAATACTTTGCAGCACCTCAAATGTATTTTATGTGATTAACCTTAAACTTACTTTTTTTATTGTTTAGATGGGTGGACGAGCTCACAGCCTACCTGGTGTTAAGTGGTTACTAGATCCTATAAACATCTACAACCTTGAGATATAAGTTCTAAGATTTCAGTATAGTTACAGCGGCTGCCCCTCAAACCGAAACGCATTACTGCTTCACGGCAGAAATAGGTAAGGTGATGGTACATACCCGCGCGGACTCACCGTAGGTCCTACCACGGGTTACTTTCTGCCGTTGTAATGTTAAGAGATCTAAGAACTCTGGTCTCAAGGCAGATGGCGTAATTTACGCTGTATGTGTCTATGGACCAAGGTCATAACCTAACACCAGTTAGGTCCGGCCATAAACAATCCTTCCGCAACGCAGATACCCAAGTCTCGTTCTTGCGGAGACGCCGGCATCCTGCCGCACTGGTGCGCGTGTACCAAGTGGAGGAACGTGTCCCGAAGCGACCCGGTCCACCAGCAAGCAGCCACAGTACTGGCCGAGTATATAGATAACATCACCAACGGACGAAGGTAACGAAGGTTCTAGTTTAGATTCGACTACTATGTCTTACACTATCGACACTCTTAACCCTCAGACACAGCCCACTGCGTTTCTCGCCGGATCTTCTCAGTGGGTCGCGTTTCCGATCCGGTGGTAGATTCTGTGAAGCACGGCTCTTGCTAGGGTCAGTGTTAGCATCACTCCGGTTTGAGCCCTGAAACTTCATGGGTGGGTAAACGTCAAAACGGCTATCGTAGCATGCCGGTTTTGTAATTAATGAAGCCTTATTTTAATAGGGACGTAAGATTGAAATTCCTTTGTTTTTGTTGTAATTATATGTATTACTACCGAAATGTTTGTAGGAGTAGTAGGTATAATAGAAGAGTTGGTTATGTAGTGGTTTAGAATAGCAGCACTTTTCGTAAGGGTTGTCATAAGACGAGTGAGGGATTCACCGGAGAATAGGCAGCAGTGTTCTCTGAGTATTAAGCTATTGCATAGCTTTTATCGCGGGCTTTGAGCGTGGCGACCGAATCAAGAAATTCCGTAACGAAAATAAAACCTAACACCCCCCACTCCGCCTACCATGTAGCTCGCGTTCGACACATTTACACATTGCGCTTGTGTAGTGTTTGTGAATAAGCGCGGGTGACGTCGCACTGCATGAAATCACAGAAATAAATCAATTGATATTATTTCTGTGATGCAAATCATGAAAAGTCTACCCATCTCTCTCTCGCGCGGTCTAGCTTATGAGTGTGAAGGCGACAGTTAATGTTTTGCTTTTGTTAATGTTTTTATAAATGTAGCGTGGTCTTATTTTATTATTGTTTTAATATTAAATTATTATTGTCTAATTATAATTGCATAAGTTGATAAAAAATGCTATGCAATAGCTTTACCGCGGCAGTTCCCGATTGCCACACGTGTTTTTTTTATGTGTACTGCGATCGCCGACTCTCTCTTCTTTTCTCTGTCGTTTCCTCATTACTGAGGGTCGTGACCACCTTGGTCCAGTTTTTGCACCAGCTTTCTCCAATGCTGCCTGCATTCGGCCTGCTTAATGGCGCCCGGGACGCTGGTGTTTGTGGCCTCCTTGATAATGTCCGTCCACCTGGTTGGCAATCTTCCTCGACTTCTCTTTCCTTCCACGTGACCTACAGCTATTAATTTTTCCAAGTTCTCAGGATTTTGTCGGGCCACGTGTCCGAAGTACTTGAGGAGACGCTGCATACAGATTGCAGATAGACGTGTCTTGACGTTTAGCTCCTCGAGAATTGACACATTTGTTCGGCGCTCCGTCCATGATACGCCCAACATTTTGCGCCAACACCAAATTTCAAATGCGTCAATTCTCGATCGCCGACTAGCATTATTAAAATTTATTGGAGTTTTTTTTTGTTATGATATTATTTCTAAATTTTAAACTTTAAATGACTTCTGCAAAAGTCAGAAATGTCGCTTAAACAAATAGCCTTTTTACACGTCGATATGCATTTTAATTTATAACTTGTAATAACGAATAAGTTATTTAAAAAATAAACTTGAAGAGCGTTATAATAATATAGATGATGTTAACATTATTTTTTGCGTCTAAAATGCCATCAATGTTATGTGTTTGGTTTTTTATAACTTTATTTTTTTGCTAGAGGCTGTCATCTCTTTTTTTTGACATTACATAATTGGACTCGGTCGGGAATTCGTTGGGAAAAAACAATTATAAAAAGCAGGCGAACTTTAAGCTTTTATGACGTAATCTTAAATTGTAGTTAAATATGTATAAGTGAGCATGTTGTAGTTTTTATTACCGCGTCGCTAATACGCTGCATTGTTTTTTCTATCTAAGCTGGTGGCCTTGAGAAGCTATGCCATCGTAAGCGAGCGAATAGGTGAACTCAGGGCTCTAACCTGTTGTTGCTAACACTGAATCTTACTGGTGGTAGGACCCCTTGTGAGTACGCGTGGGTAGGTGCCACCACCCTACCTATTTCTGCCGTGAAGCATTAATGCGTTTCGGTTTAAAGGGCGGGGCAGCCGTTGTATCTATACTTGAGACCTTAGAACTTATATGTCAAGGTGAGTGGCAAGTTTACCTTGTGGATGCCTATGGGCTCCAGTAACCACTCGACAACAGGTGGGCTGTGAGCTCGTCCACACATCTAAGCAATAAAAAAATAAAATAAAATAAAAACCCTGTCCCGTCGTCTCGATGGCCCCGACTGGGCTCCGGCCCGGTCCGTGTAGGGCGCCGGCTGTGAGCGGCAGGAGTTTCAGTGAGGTTCAACTCCCACATACACCCCACCCGCGCAGATGGGGACCTAGCGATTTTCTCCTGTGGAAAAAAAAAGCCCTAGCATGAGCAGTGAGACCTAACGGCACACTGAGATCATACGGCGAGTACCCGGTCATCTTTCTCGTCGAACCCGTCGCTTGCGACGAAAGGCTCTACGAGTAAATTAACCCATAGTCACAGCCCACTGAGTTACGATCGCATTTCCGATCCGGTGGTAGATTCTGCGAAGCACTGCTCGTGCTAGGGTCAGTGTTAACAACTTTGCCAGGTTCGAGGCCCCGTGAGCTCACCTACTCGTCCGGTAACGCTGATATAGCCTCTCAAGGCTATCAGCATATAACGTTTTTAATAACTTAATAAAATTTATATATAACCACTAGCTGGCCCGGCAAACGTTGTTTTGCCCTATAAATTATTTTTTATATTAGGGGGACCACCCTTAACATTTAGGGGGATGAAAAATAGATGTTGTTCGATTCTCAACCCTGGCCGATATGCACGCTAAGATTCACGAAAATCGGTCGAGCTGTTTCGGAGGAGTTCAATCACGCACACCGTGACACGAGAATTTTATATATTAGATTTAAAATTAGTTTTGCTGTGAATTTAGCATTTAGTTTTGAATATTTTTCAAAGGTATATTTTTATAAGGTTAAGGCTATATTTTTCAAAAATCCTTTAGCAATTTACGAAAATTATGTGATGAAAGTAAAAGCCTTAAAAACATCCATAGATCGTTGTGTGCGAAGCGAACGTTAACTTCTATCGATTGGGTAATGAAGCTCATCCCGAGCAGTGAGATGAGTTTGAGAGACGGAAAAAACAATCGTAAGAGAGATAACGTATTAAGAGGAGATCAAGAAGAGTATCAAGTTAAGGTGGGTCTCTATTGATTATTTACACTAGATTAATTGCCTAGTGATTTTCAATTATTACCGTTAAAGGAAGTTGTAAAATAAGCGCTGTTAAATAGCGCGCTATTTATTCACAACGGCGCGCTTCGCTTATTACTGTAGTGTATTCCATTAAAAAATCACTGTGGTGATTCGTGTAAATGATAATTATGAAGATTGCTTATAAAGCAGTCATCGTGGTCTAAATGATAAGACTTCCGGTGCATTCGTGTTGAGCGATGCACCGGTGTTCGAATCTCAGGCGGGTACCCATTTTATCTAATGAAATACGTACTCAACAAATGTTCACGATTGACTTCCACGGTGAAGGAATAACGTCGTATAATAAAAATCAAATCCCGCAAAATTATAATTTTCGTAATTACTGGTGGTAGGACCTCTTGTGAGTCCACACGGGTAGGTACCACCGCCCTGCCTATTTCTGCCGTGAAGCAGTAATGCGTTTCGGCTTGAAGGGCGGGGCAGCCGTTGTAACTATACTGAGACCTTAGAACTTATATGTCAAGGTGGGTGGCGCATTTACGTTGTAAATGTCTATGGGCTCAGGTAAGACTTTACACCAGGTGGGCTGTGAGCTCGTCTCGTCGATTACATAACTTTAATCACGTTTGATGGCAAATAAAAATGTTGTAGCTGACTATGAGCCCGGGTGCCGCCGTTTTCGAAGCGACATTGACTTATTACGTAAAAGAGGATTACTTTTTGATTAACGAACGCGATATATCGAGAATAAGCTCGTAAGTTCAACTCTATCGCCGTTTTAACGGAGTTTTAACAATATTTTTTTGTTAATTAATTTTATAAGTTTAATCTTATATTTTTGTTATTTAATGTTATAAGTATATTCTTATATTTTTGTTATTTAATGTTATAAGTATGTTTATTCTTATATTTTTGTTATTTAATGTTATAAGTATGTTTATTGTTAGATTTTTGTTATTTAACTAGCGACCTGCCCTCTCTTAGTTTCGTAAACTGTAATTTATTATTGATTATGAAAATGAGATGTAGATTTTTGTCCTTCTCACTTGACACATATCGTTATATTGTGGGTAATTCACACTATTTCTTTAAAAATATGTTATTCTGATTTGTATGCTATATTATTGTAGATTTTCATCAAAATTCACTGAGTAGCTTTTCCGTTATGTTATATCATGCTATAGCTATGTAGTAGTCGTGGAGGATAGTACTAAGGAGTACCATCTCTGTGTATTAAAGTGTCCGCTGAAAAGGAGCCAATTAATGTGGCGCCACAGTAGCAAATGGAAAGATTTAAAAAATAGCGCCATAAAGTAGCACAGCACACTCGACTCTGTTTAAAACTGCTATGTTCATATCATTTCCACTACCTACACTAGCGCTATTTCGGTGAGTCTTCCAACAATGGACTTTTTGGCGGGAACGCGAGGAGTGAAGTTGTGTGATTTGTTTTATTTTGTCGTATTCAGTGTTTCTTCAGGTTTAAATGTGTAATCACGGTGGTTTATTAACTGTTTAATATCTGTGAAAGTGCACAAATGTGGGAACTGAAACAAAGCCACGTCCACTTAAAAAATCTCAGTAAATGGCCACCATTTTACTGAGATTATATTTCAGCCCATATCATTTCATCTCATTTCATTTAATGTCATCCCAGTTGATTAATGTCCCAAATTAATCATCTTCATTTCATTTCACTCCATATTATCATTTTTCATAAAAATAAGAATATAAATTAAAATAAGACATGACTTAAAGGTCTTAGTTACCAGGTCATAAAATCCCTTAAAACAAAAATCTTCCAACATTAATTTGCTGTTTACAGATGGATAGTTTTTCAATTTATCCCTACTACAAGATGCTCCTTACTTCTACTCACCATCGTAGTAGAGTAGATTACTCATTGCGACATATTTAAAGTAGTTGAATTCTACGTCACCATATCAAATCATTACGTGTTTTGGTAACTTTCAGATACGGCGATGAATCTATATGTATAAGAGATTCGTATCCACAGCTAAACAAATACTGCTACTGTAAGGATAAAATGAATGCGGCTAACTATGCCTTTGGATACAGTTTTAGTCTCATCTAGTTTAATTAAAAAAAAAAGGCAAGCAAATAAAGGATTGTTGTTTGTAAAGTGTTTTTTTCTTTCCTACCTATGCCGATAGCCTTGAGAGGCTATTTCAGCTTCGCCCAAACGTGCTCACGGGACTCAAACCGGGGTGTTGCTATCACTGGCCTAGCAAGAGCAGTGCTTTACAAAATCTACCAGCAGATCGGAAACGCGACCCACTGAGAAGATCCGGCGAGAAACTCAGTGTGCTGTGTCTGTGGGTTAATTTTACTCGCCGAGTCCTTCATCGCAAGCGACGGGTTCGGCGAGGACGGTGACCGGTGCTTGTGGTACTTAGAGCATTGTTAATGGATCGGGAGGATCCGTAATGACGTGTTTTGGGTGACGTCGACTGTTTACCATTCGGTGTACAGGTTCGGGTATGTAATTAACGGGGGCCACGACAAGAGGGTTTTCATGTCGTGCCGCCTTCGTGCGCAATGATGCCGACTCATGGAGATCCATATTCCTTAGGAACCATAAAAGGCTTGTCTTTAATGTACTGAATTAACATGAGAGATCTGTCTAGGACGGGCTTAGGCTTCGATGACGACCTATTTGATGTTAAGTGGTTACTGGAGCCAAATAGTACATGAAGTTGGAATGTCAATTTTATACATACCAAACTAACAAGCAGAACCGGGTCTCGATCTGGCGGAGATTTGAAAGGAAACGGTTAAAAATAACGAAAACAAACATTTTAGTATAAAAACATTTATTTCTAATAAAAACAATTTGCGTTCAAATAATACTTATCGATATCAGGTACCTAAACGAAAATAATTCAATTCGTACTACGAACAATAATGTTAAAAGTGAACATAGATGAATTATTACATTGAAACACCGCCGGCGCACCCCCGAGTCCCTGGTGCCCGTGCTAGAGGCATGACGATGACGCGCAGCACGCGCTCGACACGTGCCCGCGTTGGGAGCACTCGCGGCGAGATCTCGTCGCGGTGGTGGGGAAAGGATCAGAGCTCGTGGGAGGCAATGGCCAGGTTTTGTGACCTGGTAAGGGTGTCCCGTGAGGCTGAGGAGCGTGAAAGGGAGTGAGATGCTTCTTCAGAACCTCAGTGCAGAAGGCGAGGTGGGTGGCGCGGGCGTGAAGCACCCGCTCAGCCCCCGTAGGGACTGTCAGGTGGCGGGTGCGGGGGCGTCCGGAACTCGACTGTCGGTCCGGTGGTGGGGCGGTGCATGGTGGCTCCTGTGCGCCGCCCACGGTGTATCTCCCGATGAATCCCATCTTATAATCAGGACGGGTACCGTCGAAGGCGAACTTTCGGCGCGCACTGCGGTATCTTAGGTCTGGTGTAGCCGGTGTGGTCGAGCTCGATGGGGCTTAGTCGGTAGTTGGTTTTCCGGGGCGAGCGCACTTTTTTCAAGGCGTAGTCTCCTGCGAGGAATTTTGGAGGACCTTGGTCCTCCTCGTCCCCCTCTCCCTCTCGGGAGGCGCCGGAGTCCGACATAGCCCGGTTCGTTACCCCCCCACACCGGGTATCCGTAAATGAATTCCCCGGCGTTAAAAAAAAAGCCGTGTTAGTATGTCGTGGGCGCAATTCAATCGTTTAATTGTTCATAGTACGTTATTGAAAATTGTGCTTTCTATTTGGTTTCAATGGTAACCGTAGACTGGGGAGGGAGCGCGACCAGTTCCGTGGAAGCCGGTCAAAGAACCGGTGAAGTCTGTGGGAGCTTCGTAATTGTAACCTGTTGGAGATGAAAGGATTTATTTTATTTATTGTGTACCAATAAGTTATAAATCAGCACAGAACATTACATCTAACATATATATTGATCTCACACTTCCGAACAACAACATTCGGGCCGTCGGTCTACCGAGCAATATCACTAGATCGATGGAACATCTTCCTTTTGTCATATACCTAGTCACTATGGTATCGTTAGGTTACTCGTTACATTTGCTACGTAATAAAAACAGTAGGTAACATATCGCACATACAAAGCTATAATGTGACTTATGCGATTCTTGTTAAAACTGAACTGAGTTTGAGAAAATCCATTTTTCTTACAGTTGCTATTAGTGATATGTTTGCTTTTAATAATAACGTTTAAGGTTGCAGTTTAAATATTATCGTTTTATTTCTTTAGTCGACTAGAACTATATAATTGTATTTAGATGTTGAATTTTCTGGTGGTAGGATCTCATGTGAGTCCGCACGGGTAGGTACCACAACCCCGCCTATTTCTGCCGTGAAGCAGTAATGTGTCTCGGCTTGAAGAGTGGGGCAGCCGTTGTAGCTATACTGAGACCTTAGAACTTATATCTCAAGGTGGGTGGTGCATTTGCGTTGTAAATGTCTATGGGCTCCAGTAACCACTTAACACTAGGTGGGCTGTGAGCTCGTTCACGCATCTAAGCAATAAAAAAAAATCAACGCATATGTGATGTTATAACACCGTATATGTGCGATATTTCGTGTGGCTTACTATACTGATGTCGGGTCGTTCGTACTTCGTACAAAACCTACGTCACACACCTAGCGACGTTAGATGCATTTTCTAGGATTGAAATCAAATACAACTAGAGGTAAACTTTAATTAAATTATCCCTAGAATCTGACGGAAAATTGTTGATTTTGCAATAGAATTTAATGTAAATTTCAATGCGAGTAACGGAGTGAATTCGCGGGTAACGTTTCGGTATTCGGTACTGTGCGCTTAATGCGAGTTTTTTAACGTTTTCGATAGCGTAAAAGTTAACTCAAATTAGTATGGAATTGGATACGTTTGCCTACGTTTACCGCTAGGGGCGCTGTACCAACTGCATACAAATTTGAGTTAACTCTTACGCTATCGAGAACGTTAAAAAACTTGCACTAAGTATACTGGACGACGGACCCATCACTCTACTGCTACAGCTCTAGTAGCTATTAATATACCCATAAAAATAATAGCACGAAGGTCGGTAAATTCACGCAGTAACTGCTCGACGTAATCTTTACCTGTATTCCCTCCTCGGTTGTAATTCGGGAGGGTCTCCGGATACCTCGCTTCTCCTACATACCGAACGTCAGCGTGGAAGCCGGTCTGCCAATCGGCATGGTATGTTACTGACAAACAAACAAAATAAGGCATCTTATAAATATTATTCAAACATCTAGGACCGGTGAAATAGTATAGTACATTGTGCACCAAGGGAGAAAAGTAGGACATTTCCTCCCGCGTGTAAAATGTCCTACTACTAAATGAGATGTCCTACTTTTTTCCCGCGATGCACATATTATTTTTTCTTCTACCAGGCTGTAAGTTCGTGGAGTACCGAGCCGGGCACTAGGGGTGAAGCCCTGGCAGGGGGTAGGGGGGCGGAGCCCCCCATACTCATAAAAAAACAATATAACTTTTTTTTATTTTTAAATAAACTACTACCTACTGACCGACTGCGGGGGCAGTGAGGGAGAGATAAGGAGAAGGACGCAGATAACTAAAACAGCGATGACCAAGCTCAAACGAATATGGCAAAATCGCAAAGTCTCTAACGTCACGAAAATGAGACTCGTCCGAACCTTAGTTTTCCAGAGTCCTGGACAATTAGGGCATCCGAGCGCAAGAAAATTAACGCATTTGAAATGTGGTGCTGGAGACGAATGCTCCGAATTCCGTGGACGGCCAAGAGGACAAATAAATCTATCCTGGATAAGCTTCGCATCCGAGTCAGGCTCTCAACAATCTGTTACCAGAGGATCCTCAGCTACTTCGGTCATATTGCCCGCCTACAGTCAGATAACTTGGACAAAGTGATTGTGACGGGCAAAGTAGAAGGAAGGAGACCCCGCGGCCGATTACCTAGCCGTTGGTGTGATCAAGTAACCGCTCTAACTGGGTTGCCAGTCGCAACCGCCATTCGAGCAGCTGAGGACCGGGCGAGATGGAAACAGCTCACGAGACAGGCAACGGTCAAGTTTCAAGGACATGACCTTCAGCAAAGAAGAAAGCGACGAAGAAGAAGAACTACCTACTAATTGAATAAGAACTGTCTGATGAACTTATCTTTGTTAATACTTCATAAATTTTATTGCCTTTGTTTATTTCACTTTTACACTAAACACAATATTGCAAATTACCCGAGCACAACAATGGCGGAGAATTTTAGGTGCGTGAGAGCAGACGTATACACGAACGCGCATGCGCACTTGTCAGTACCTAGGGAGGCAAAGTTAGACTTTCTTCCCTGTACAGTGGGAGGAAAACCGAACTTTCGGCGTAGGTAAGAGAAAAAGTTTATTTCCCTGCATTAGAGGTCTAAAGTCGAGTTCTTTAACACAAGTTCTTTACAAACTTAGCACGGGACCAGTTAACGTGGCTTGATTGTTAGTAAATATTTATTATTATTATTATTATTACTTACCGATTTGCGTTCTTCCATCAGGCAGCTGGACTCTGTACTCCCCTCTGACCACGTTTCCGTCCGAACTTTCTCGTCTACCGTAATCGTTTCCACTCAGAGCGTCTTTCACTGAATAACCGAACTCATAGGACTTGGGCTGAAAAGAAAAACTCAATATACCATAAATCGGGGGGAAGCGGGACCCTTACCAAATCCAACACAAATTATCAATGGTTTTTTAGGAAATACCAATAAAATAGAAATTTAAAATGGTTCCATGGGCTTAAATTTTTATATACGATGCGTTATTATACATAAGTTTATTACGAAAAATACACAAAAACAAAAAAAATAGCTTGACGCGATTCATCTTGCCTTTGGGGTGAATCAGGTTACATATGGGGACAATAGAGTTTTTCGATATGACTGGCACTATTTAGTTGTTAGGCAGGTTTTAGGTAATTAACTTTTTAATATCTTTAATGAGTTACCAAAGTTTGATGACTAAGTTAAACTATTTAAAATTCTTTAAAAGTCATTATCAGTTCAACAAAGTTAAATCTAACAACTCAACAAAAGTATTGTGATATCCCAGATTTGTCCATAATCTAACTCTAGTCTCTATTGCCCCCAATATACTATACCTATTGCATCAGATATATCCACAGTACGTTCCTTGATTTTAGTTTAGGGAGGAGGAGAAGGAACAGCCGTACTGTAAAACTGAGATTTGGAACTCACGTCTTCAAGTTAGTGGCGGCATTTAGTTTGTTTGTCTCTATGGGTATCTAATATCCACTCATAACAGGCGGATCGGGAGCTCGTCTAAGCATCTAAGAATTAAAATAATTTATAACGGGAAAATACATAAAGATAGCGATTATTCGTATTTTATTTGAATTTGATTACATGTAGTTTACATTAAACAATCATGCAAGACAATCAGTCATATAATACAAGGAATTAACGCTATAATGTTACTTATTACGGAGCGCGCGATCAAGGGCGGATCCAGGGGGGGGGTCATGGGGATCATGACCCCCCCCCCCCTGAGCTGGTTCCAGGACCTAGGTGGACCACATATTGAACATAATGATTTTAGGACCACGGTTATGGAATATAAATAAGCTGCCTCATTCCGGGCGTGATAGTGCTTCTCTGGATTTCTTCAAGAGAAGATGACAATATGTACGTGTATATGTACAAGTTATTATGTGTTAAGTTTTTCAAGTGTACAATAAAGNTAGGACCACGGTTATGGAATATAAATAAGCTGCCTCATTCCGGGCGTGATAGTGCTTCTCTGGATTTCTTCAAGAGAAGATGACAATATGTACGTGTATATGTACAAGTTATTATGTGTTAAGTTTTTCAAGTGTACAATAAAGAATAAATCCTTTAAGTACAGTACTTACGTACATTAATAAAATACCTACTATTTACTTGTATCTATTGTTATCAAAATTAAATTATAAGTTCTTGACTTGACCATGACTATGTGACCCCCTCCTGGCACCAAAGCTGGATCCGCCCTTGCGCGCGATGAGCTCATCTGCCCATATAAATCGATAAAAATAATTCTATCATGACTACGCATATGATACAAAAACATTTTGACACAATATTCAGTTAGCAACGAAAATTAACCAACTATTCTGAGCATCGGAAATATTGAAATGAAGATAAAAGTGGTAGAAGTAGTTATGTACATATTCCAGGCTTCGTATTTTATATTATTCTCTATCTAATCGCTAGCAGTCTTGAGGGGCAATCTCAGCTAAGCACGGCCTGATAGGTGAGCTCACGGGCACGACCTGAGAAAATTTGCTAATACCAACCCCAGCAAGAGCAGTGCTTCGCATAATCTACCACCGGATCGGAATCGCGAGGAATCCTGAGGAAATCCGGCGAGAAACTCAGTAGGCTGTGTCTATGGGCTAGTTTGCACTTCGAACACTTCGGTGGCGGTACTTGGAGTGCCTAAAGGCACTGAGATTGAAGAAGGGAGGACGAGAAAGGATCCGATAGGTCGTATTTAGGCTACGATTCACGAAAATCGGAGTAAAAACAAAACAATTTGGTTCCTAAAACTTCGTCACATGACACGGTCGTGTGTTTTTTTGTGATTAAGAACAAAATATAGTTTGTTAATAAATAGTATAGATCGGTACTTATAATGAATTTTAATACATAATTCGTTGATAACCTTTTCAACTTTTAGCGTCGAGAATTACAAAACAGGGGACTGAGTAGAGATGATTTATACATTGACAAATATTATGACAATAATTATTCTAACTAGCTGACCCGGCAGACTTCGTAGTGCCTAAATCAATAAATATAAGACCTAAACTTTTCTATAAAATAAACTTAAAACAAACAAAAGGAATCACATCAAAGGAACACAAGGACACATCAAAGGAAAAACAAAGTTGCTATTGTTATTTAATTCCGAGCATTTTCATATTTGTCTACCTTTTGAACCTTCTCTGAACTTCCACAAATAATTCAAGACCAAAATTAGCCAAATCGGTCCAGCCGTTCTCGAGTTTTAGCGAGACTAACGAACAGCAATTCATTTTTATATAGGTATATAGATATCGAAAGTTTAGTAACGTTGTCTTGATTGAGTTTGAAATTCATTCTAATTATTATTATCTATATATTAATACGTGAAGCAAAAACTTTGTACCCCTGTTTACGAAAATTGCGCGGACGGAAGAGTGTGAAATTTCTCACACTTATAGAAAATATAGAGAAGGAGTGAACAATGCTAATATTTTTTTTTTAAAAATGCTTAAAAGATACTTTAAATCAATAAAGAAAACATTACACACACTACCATATATTTGACATAACACATACATAAAAATATACTCTTTGTTTACTCTCAATTGGGAAACTTTTGTTATTGTTTAAAGTCTGTGGTCGAATTGAAAATAGATTAATATTGTTTGTTTTTAATATTATTGATCTATAGTGCAGTTTTGGCGAATACTGTGGTTATGTTATCGAAATATAATAGTGTTTGACAATAGAACCATAATAATGTTTAAACTTATAATTTCAATTAATTATAGTCGAATCTCGACTACTGCGGGGCCACTAGTTTTTAGAAAAAGATAGTTTTGATTGTTTTACTGTTGACAATTCTTTTATTTCGTAAACGAGCCACGTTCCACATCAAAACGTGCCCCGCGTGAGACATTAAAATGCATTAAAAATGAAATCCAAAAAAAATACAAAAAATTAAATCCTAAAAAGGCTCCACAGCTTTCTTTGTCCTTCCATCCACAAACACCATTTAACGTGACCAAGCTAACAGTTACTGTTATCAGGAGAACGCAGAAACACATGGTAAGCGAAACTGTTAATTTGTTATATTAATATCTATATATTAATACGTGAAGCAAAAACTTTGTATCCCTTTTTACGAAAATTGCGCGGACGGAGGAGTATGAAATTTTCCACACTTATAGAGAATACAGAGAAGGAGTGCACGATGCTAATATTTTTATTTAAATTATGCATAAAACATACATTAAATCAATAAAAAAACATTACACACAGTAAGTACCATGTATTTGACGCAAACACGCATGTATTGTCAAACTTTTGTTCTTGACGTCTGTGGTCAAATTGAGAATAGATTAAATATTGTTTGTCTTTATTAATATTTTTCTATATAGTCTTGGCGAAATTTGTGATTATCGAAGTATAAAAGTCTAACAATAGAATCATAATGGTGTGTACAAATTTATATTTCAATTAATTATAGTCGAATTTCGACTACCAGGACATCACTAGTATTTATAAATATTCACGTCATTTCATTAAGTCGGAAGCAACTTCCCAACAGGGGATACAAGTCGCGCTTTCCTTGGAGGCTAAGAACGAGCTGTTTGTCTTTTTTTTTGGTCAGGAGGAAATTGCCGGGCTCCCAGCCTCCAATGGGAATGGTGGGTGTGGCATGCCGTAGTCGAACCGACTAAAACCTCCTGTGCCTCAATAACCCACGTCCGAGCCTCGTATGATACAGAACTCATGAAAAGGCAAAGGGGGGTGAGAAGCGTTTAGTGCGGAGCACATCTTTCCCATCATCCTCCCCCTAGCTGTTTGTTATAATACTATCTTAACTTCAATTCGGTCACGAATGGCGTTAAGTTAAAGTTCAGCTGTATTTGGTAAAGCTTTGGCGGAAAATTTGAATAAATATGAACTATCTGATTCTCTATTAATCTCTATGTACTCTAAGCCCCTTGTGGTTCTAGTCCAAAACAAACAAAGTGGTCGTTACCATATTTAAAATTCGAAACAGAATTTTGATTGTTCCACATTTAAATTTAAACACGAAACATATTAACGGTTGCGCTTGGGGGCTTTCTGTTTGTTGTACTTAGATCACCATGTATCCTTCACCGAATCTCAACTAAAACGGTTTTAACTCAAGGCCAGATACGACAGCTTTTCTTCTATTGCTTAGATGGGTGAACGAGCTTACAGTCTACCTGGGGTTAAGTGGTTACTGGATCCCATAGACATCTATAACGTAAAAGCGCCATCTACCTTGAGATATAAGTTCTAAGGTCTCAAGTATAGTTACAACGGCTGCCCCACCCTTCAAACCGAAACGCATTACCTCTTCGCTGCAGAAATAGACAGGGTGTTGGTACCTACCCATGCGGACTCACAAGAGGTTCTACCACCAGTAAAAAACAGGTACGAGAAAAATACGGCGCCCTAATTAAAAATAAAGCTATACAAGGCACAAGAAAACAGAATGGTTCACGAGTATTCAAGGATTATAGCCAATTGACAATAATTTTCATTGTTAATCACACAGATAAGGATTGTTTTAATGTGCCTTAAGCCTAATCGTCTATAAGCGCCCTAGAAAGAACAGTCTGAAAAACAATCACAAAGATTCCTAGTGATTGCAAGAAGACTCCTAGATTTTCAGTACCTTAAATCACAAGATTCAGGATTGTTTGGTATCATTTAATTATTAATTTCAAAAACCTTTCAGATCGAAATGAAGTTGTTCTTGTTAATGACAAGCGTAATCGTGACTCAAGCGGGAACCCTCAGAGGGGAGTGCAAAGGCGTCGAAATCAACGGGGTGACGTACGAAGAGGAGATGCTCTACGAAAATCTGGA